TGAACTTGATATGAATTAGTTTGGTTTGGAGTGTTAACTACCGCTTTGATATGAATATTGTCTTGATTTTGGGCTTGAGATAAACTTGCTTGCTTTGGAGCATTAGCTATTATTTTGGCTTCAATACTTTCTTGATTTGTGCTTGATGTTACTTCAGGGACTGTTTCTTTCTCTCATTTTGAGCCTAGTAATGGTGAAATCCTATTCTAGCAGAGCGGCAAAACGGAATGGTCTGATTTACCCCACGATTGGGTTTGCATCTCTTGTGGTTTTCATATACATGACCTTTGGAGGCTTTTGGCCAGATTCCCATAAACAAACCGTATTGAATTTTGTGGAGAGGAATGGGACTCAGTTCTTTGTGGATGGCAAAGCCTTCTATGTTAATGGGTGGAACTCTTATTGGCTGATGGACCATGCTGTGGATGAGGGTAGAAGACCGAGAATTAGAGCCATGCTGCAAGCTGGTGCTAAGATGGGTCTCACTGTGTGTAGGACTTGGGCATTCAACGATGGTGCATACAATGCTTTGCAATTATCACCCGGGAGATTTGATGAAAAAGTATTTAGAGTAAGGATTTTGCTTTCAATGTTCATGTTATCTATTTCATTTTATTAGTAAGAACTTTGCTTTCAATAATTACTACTGCATTTCTTATTGAATACCCCGGAGTACTATTTAATGTTTTCTTTAATGTCCATTGAATTATTTTTTTGTATCTTTGTAGCTCTATTTTGTGGATATTGGAAACTAGAAAATGGTCACATTTCTACTTTGATTTTCTACCTCATCTTTTGGCTATGGCTTCTATTTTTTTCCTTTCAATTTTACTGCTCTATACTAAATGTGGGTTTCTATTTTCTCACTGCTGAAATTAATATACGGAGTAGTACACAAGCTTGAATCTCAGAGAAGCTCAAGTCTTTTTGCTACTTCCTGATACTATACAAGTAGACATTATCTTTTTCTTTTCTTCCTAAAAAATCATTTTTGGTTAAGGCACGTCGTGGTTGTTGTTGCTGCCACTTACTGCTAATTGTTTTATGGCAGGCCTTAGATCATGTAATTGCAGAAGCTAGACAACATGGAATTAGGCTGATACTCTGTTTAGTTAACAACTTGCAAGCTTATGGTGGGAAGAATCAATATGTTAAATGGGCATGGGAAGAAGGTGTTGGTTTAAGCTCTTCTAACGATTCATTCTTCTATGATCCAACCATCCGTCATTATTTCAAAAACTATGTCAAGGTAATCTTCTATGCTATTCTCTTGTTAATTCGTCATAAATATATACCAACTAGCTCTGTCATCGTTGTTATACGTTAGACATCAATTCCATTATACCTGTAGATAATGGGCACAAACATTGGAATCTACCCCGAAGTATATATAACGTGCAATCTATATGACAAATTTACTTAGTAGTCATTGTTTTTGTCCTCTGTAATTTTCTCACTTGATTAAATATATTTTAATTGCTGGGTTTTTATCCTCCGTAATAGAGATTTAGAAAGAAAGGCCTTTTGGTTTTGATTTTTCTTTTCTTTTGCAGACAGTATTAACAAGGAAGAATACAATCACAGGTGTCGAGTACCGTGATGATCCCACCATCTTTGCATGGGAATTGATCAATGAACCTCGATGCCTGATAGATCCTTCAGGTGACACACTCCAAGTAAGTTTTGAATAATTTTCACTTGTTGCAGTCCTTATTAGGTAAAATAATTGATTCTTTAAGCATTTGCAAAAGTAATTTAGTAGAATAGGGGTATATTTACATACAACTACCCAAGTTGTCCAATCCTCGCGAAATTGAAACATCAGTAATGATATGTCAGCAATGCCTTTGATGGTGGATGGTCTGAATATTCACTTTCAGTTTTTTTTCAAGAACACAGCCATTGTCTGCTTAAACTTGATTGTGCCATTACATTCTTCTTGAGTTGGAAAATATAATTCTCAAATAATAAAATGAAGAGCAACTTGTTTATATTTTCTTTCAGACAGTTTGAAGCTGTAAAATTTTATACTTTTGTTTATATTTTCTTTCAGAATGGCTTATAAAATTAAACAGATAACTTCACCTAAGACAAATGAGTGAAGTCTTTGCTGGAGATTAGTAATTCTTGAGTTCAGAACCGACTTCCTATATTGTACTGTGGTGGATATAGTACATCAAGAGACAAGGTTTGATTGCTAAAACCTAAAATAAAAGATAGCATTTTGACAATGTTGTAGAGTTAAAATCCCATTTGAAATTCGCAAACAGACTGATACACTGACCACATTAACAGTCTGTCTTGGACCTCTTGGTGTAAGAATTTATAATGGAAAAGAAAAGAAAAGGCGTGGAAAATATAAAGTAAAAATGGAATGATAATTTTCCTTCCATTTTGGTGAGGAAAGAGGGAGAAAATATGCATGTCATATCCGGTCAAAGCCGACCGAACGTGTTCATTAAACACACTTTTCAGCCATTGGCTGAAGTAATAGTCCTTCCCTTTTCCTCACTAATATCCCTACTAGACAAAACAAGGGTAGGATTTTGAGTTTGTTTGGCCCTTCCTAATTCCCTGAATCTAACAGAGTGTCCCTGCAGGCTACATCTAAATGAACTAGAAACATTCAAAACCCCCTTAAGGACGTAATATTTGCACCACGGGAAAAAAATTTAAAAATAAAATAAAACTCCATAAAGTTGTAGTTGTACTTGTATGCTTCACATTGGTCATTCGGCAAGCATCAATACAATGGGCGGTTGGGCTAGCTTGCAACAAAGTGACATGTACATCAAAGTGTACATTGTTGAATTTCAGTATATCACCGAGAAGCACCATTCTATTAGGCTAGTTTCACGATTTCAAGCTTGCTATCCTGAAAAGAGCCATCTGAAAAACAGCTTTGATTCGTCCCTTTAGCTCTCACTGCTATGTCCTAGATCCTAAGTGGCCTCATATTGAGGACATAATTTTGTAAATTAATTCTATGCCACTATTAGGTCATTTTTCCTCGCACAACAAATTCTGGAGTCTATTTTGGAGTTTGATTGCATTTTGTTTACCAATTGTTAATGCTCTAAATAGTCCTCTCATATTTTGAGAATTCTTCCAAAAAACCACACATATAAATTTGACTCAAAACCTCCAATCTTCCTAGAGAAACGTCTCCAAATAGTCCTATCTCATTTTATAACTCTTCAAGAATCAAGACATCCACTCATAAGTATGACTGCGTGCATCATTATGAATTAACTATATCTAATAGAATTGCAGGAGTGGATTGAAGAGATGTCAAGTTATATAAAGTCAATAGACAGGCGTCACTTGCTGACCGTTGGCCTTGAAGGATTTTACGGTCGAAAAAGCAGCGGGCAAAAGCTTACACTTAATCCTAATTATGGGGCCTCCGATCTTGGAACAGACTTCATTCGCAATAATAAGCTCTCAACTGTGGATTTTGCATCTGTCCATATATACCCCGACCATTGGGTCAAGAATCGAAGCTTTGATTACAAATTGGAGTTTGCGAGGAAATGGGTACTCTCTCACATTGAAGACTGTGAAAAAGAACTGAGGAAACCGGTTATGTTCACCGAGTTTGGGCTGTCCACTGAGAGCAAGCATTTCGAAGCCTCCCACCGCGATAGGTTCTACAAGGTTGTTCTTGACATCATATACAAGTCTGCTAAACGAAACAAGGCAGGTGCCGGTTCGCTTTTCTGGCAGTTTCTTGTTGAAGGAATGCAAGAGTACAATGATGAGTTTGGGTTTGTTCCTTGGGAGAGGCCCTCAACATATCAGCTGATTATAGAACAATCTTGCCGGCTTTCCAGAGTTCACGGCAATCACCATATGAAATGTCCTGTGTAGGCACAAGTTTCAGGAGTTCTTAGCAGTGTAAGAGGCAACTATAGTTACTTTGTAGTTATACAATGAAGTTGGCAATGCAGCTGTTTGAAGTTCATGGAAATCACCATATGAAACCTTTGTTTTTCCACAGTAGTAACTATTGGCTTCTACAAGTGGACTAGCAAAGTCTTGTTTGGTAATGGTATATGAACACTTATGGTAGGTGAAATAAGTTGCTGAGATAGCTGGCTGGCAGGCACACAAAACTGAGATTGAAAACCATTCTTCTTTTTTTGATTTACTTTTTGGTGTGGCTGGTTCCAGATCTAACACATTGGTCATGATTTGTACATGTTTTTTTTTTTGAAATATATAGTTGTTGTTGGTGTTGTTGTCTCCTACTTTTCATTAGTTTTGTTATGTTGAGAAATAAAACATGGAATTCCTATTTTGGTATATTTTCAAATGTTTTATTCCTACTTTAGTCTCTTTTCTATATTAAATATAAAATTTGATATGAATGTAATAATTTTGAATTAATTTTTTGAAGTTTTAAATTGAAAAATATCTAAAAAAAAATAAATTTAAATATAACCAATATATGTTATCGTTCCATAGAAAAAATGTCTACGTATGTAAATATATATATTTTTTAATTTCAAAATTGCAAGCAATAAAAGAATTTAATTTTTTCTAGAATTCTTCCATTTCATAATAATCAATTTTTGAGAATTCTTTCAATTCCTAATAGAATCACCAAGGATTTTCATGACACCCCAGTATTTTCTTTCTTGAGAAATCCACCTAAATAAGACTAAAATATAGAAAAAGGTACCAAAATAGGACTTCCCTATTTTTATTTTCGAAATAGGAGTTCACACTGTGATAAAGTAGAGGCAATGTGGTACTGTACACGTGCACATTACTATATTTTTTTGGTAATGTACATGACCGCGTTTGGTAATGTAAATGCATTTTAACTCCTATTTCGGGAATAATAACATGAAAGTCCTATTTTGGTTTATTTTCAATATTTTACTTCTACTTTAGCCTTTTTCCCTATTTTCTTAACCAAAACTTTATTAATATGAATCTTTGAGTAGTATTCTTAAATATGTCTTTACCGTCATTAGATTTTTGTATGTGGCAAATTTAACAGTAAAAATTTTTTGTATGGAACATTTTGAGGTAAAAAAATAAAGAATGGGTATTTGTTTTCAAGACTGTTGGCTTTAGAGAAAAAACATTAGGAGTACTTCATACATATATCAATAAATAAAGTTGAAGACCGAAAATGCAGTTTGTATTCTTACTATATAAAATGCAAATACAAATATTGTGTATGTGTATTCGTTTATTCATCCTCGATCTTATTATATCCATTGGATAACAACAAATACTACTCCATCATATTGGTGTCTAATTAACCAAACTTAATCTACAAAATAAAATGACTCAAGAATAATTAGCTTTGAGGTAAGCCAAGATGCCAACAAGAGGTGCATTTACATAAGTAGTAGGCTCCGAGTGGGCAGAATCAGTCCGATCATCGGCAAACTTGTCATTCCCATCTGGCCCTCCCACCACAGCCCCAACCAACAAGTTCAGGTTCGGGTTTTTGCTTTGAAAGTATGGACTCCCATCTTTGCATCCAATGGGTTTTGGTCGAAGATCAACCGAAGGCAACGAAGACCCGCGGTGGTGTATTCTCTCGGGGAACGCCTCCGTGAACCCGACCATGTACGACATCTTCATCGGATTGTTCCCCAGTATGTAATCAACTTGCGACTTGGCAAACTCCACAAGTCTTGCCGGAGTGGCCACTACGTTGCCACATCTGACTGTCCTTTTGCTTGCTTCCAAGTATTTCCCGTATGTCAGGAAAAGAAACGACAACGATGTCGCGCGCTGAATGTTGCATATCGCGTTCGGTTGGAATATGAGACCACCTGGAATTAACATATATATATATATATATATGATTCCAGGACGTACTGAAATAGGACTGGTTTTATTTATAGCAAATTAGCCTAATGTTTTACCATACCATTGATCAAGAACATTTTTGACTTGGAAATGTTTTTATAAGGCAACATAATGTAATGTAAAAAAAAAGGGGGGGGGGGGGTACCCGGAGTGAATTTTTCAGATCTTGAGGGGGATTCAGGAAGAACGTTGCAGATGAGTGCATCAGCATTGGGAATGAAAAGGTTGAAATCTTTGCCACCTCCTCCGTTTAGAATATACTACATGCATGTAAATATAACAAAACCAAAGATATTACTCCAAATGAGATGATGAGTGGAGTCTAACAAAGTGAGGGTAGTTCTGGTATTTTAAATGTTAAAAAAAGGTAGTGAGAAAATCTAAGGAAAATGACATTTTGGAAGACCTATATATAACGGACGAAGGGAGTATCAAATAGTAATATTATTCGCGCGGTCTAATATAAATATAACCTGAGAGGCGAGCACGTTAATGCCGGCGTCCTTGCTCTCCCATCCGAATAAATTTGTAGCCATCCCGAAAGTATTGATGTTCTGCCTCACATAATCCCAGTAACGTTCCTCATTTGTTGCTTTGTGTAGCCATATTGCTGCCCAAACCAATTCATCCTACCAAATATATATATATATATGCACACACAAAATTAGAGTGCACATACTTATATATATATATAGAATAAATAGAGGTGTATGTGCATATATATATATAGAATATATATATATATATATATATATATATATATATATATATATATATATATATATATAGTGTATGCATATATATACCTGATAACCACCAAAGTCGCAATAGAATGGACAAACCCATTGCCCAATGCTATTATTGTACGAACCTCTAAATTTATCACCAAATTCAAAGACCTAAACAGTTCAAAAACAATTAAAAAAAATGTTTGACGTTACCAAAAAATGTTATATATCGTTTTAACAAGAAGAAATATTTGCACTAAATAACACTAAAACTTAAGTCATTTTTCGTAAATAGTAATACTTAAATTGTTTTATTCCCTAAATAGCACTTAATAATGTCCAGTGATGACAAATATTTACTTGAATAATGACTAATGTATAATGACTAAAAATGTTACATTGGAAAGAAAAACACATGTGGTACTACTTAGGAAAAGTCATTATGTTTTAGTGCTATTTAAGTAAATTTCTCTAAGAATGGTAACAATAATTTTCAAGTTTGGGAGTACGTACTTGGGCAGCCCTTTGCAAGATCCATTGGGAATACTTAGGGTCAGAATCTTTGAAAGCCAAGGAGGAAGCTGCCAGGGCGGCGGCGATCTCGCCGGAAACCTCGGAGCCAGGAGACTTGTCGGTGACGGCGAAAGCGGTCCGAGGCGTGTCCATGTCCTCCGGCCTCTCCCAGCAATTATGGTCCGCCACCGGCTCACCCACCAAAGCGAAAACCATGTTCTCTTTGTTCGTAGCCTTCATCAGGAAGTCTGTCCCCCAACGTACCGCGTCTCGTGCGTGGGGCAGCTCGTCCCCGCCCATGTCTCCGCCGTACTCCACCACGCTCCAGGCCAGCATCGTGGTCGTAAACGCCATCGGAAAAGTGTACTTCACGTTGTCGCCCGCGTCGTAGTACCCGCCTACTAAATCCACCTGAGATTTAATTTGCACCATTGTTTGAATAAATCGAGTTCGAAAAAGCAATTAATTTTGAGACGAAAGGAGTACGTACGTTTGAAGTAGAGCCGTCGCCAAGACCGGAATCTTTTCTCCAAGTCATACGTTGGTTGGGGGGGAGTTTGCCGGACCTCTGCCCCTCGAAGAATAGGATGCTCTTCGACAAGGCGTCGCCATAGTATTTGTTCGCCGCCATAACAATGGTAATCATTAGTTGCAGGACAAGAAACGACGACGTCACTAACATGGACGCCATTTTTATTTGCAAAACGAGAAAAACGAAAACAAAAAAAAAATATTGAAATTTATTTATTTGTTACGTTTATAATAATAATAATAATCAAAATTACAAAGTGTTTGAACAAGAAATGACTGCTTGTTAATTACAATTACTCCGTATTGGATATGTTTGTTGATGAAGTGTGTGTTTGTGTGTGTATTTATACATATCATTAATGACCTACGTTACATTTATGGCTGTTAATTAAAATTCCAAATCACACATGTATAAATTCAGCTTTAGTTAATTTGTGCATATATGTATTCATGGTCACTATCAATTGCCTTATTGCCTTATTCGGATGTATATATTAGTATAATTAATTACTCCCTATTATTTATAAAGTGTTGTGTACCCTCCCTTTTACTCCTTATCCACTTATGCCTTACTCCCTCTCTTTAAAATATTTCTCTTGTCTGATATTTTTGAAATTAAACTTGACGAAATTTGATTATCAATTAAATAAAAAATGTATTGGATATTAATAATAAAAAATAATTTTATTAGCTTAATCATGCAAAAAAATTAGAATTGTATATTCATTGTATAGTTAACATGGAATGCAAATCCTTTATTACTCCATCCGTCCTCAATTTGATTTCATTTTTTTCTCTCTCCTCTCAATAACTTTTGTTTGATTACACGATTTCATTAAGTATTTGATAAAATAAAATATTCTTGTCACCTCTTGTTTTGTAGAACTTTTGACAAAGTTTTTAATATGTAATTTTTATTTCTTATCGATATATATATTGATTTGTAAATAACAATAATTTCAGAAAGTTAGATATTTCTTTTCGTAAACACCAATTTGTAATCAAATTGGGAACGGAGGGAGTATAATATTTGAGACTCATGTCTCCAAGAAATTGACATGTGTCATTTTACATGGAAATTTTTAAATGACATGACACATGAATAAATTACATGGCATGCTTTAAATGCTTATTCATTATTTATAGAAAGTTATTTATGATAACCTTTAAAATATAATGAGTTTAAAACAATATGTTTTATATTGAAAATTTAAGGACTTCTGAATTTATTGAAAATTATGTAAACAGAATAAATGTTATAATTTTTCAACAAAAATTAAATAAATTATTCATAAAAAAGAAACTAATCGTGAATAGACTGGGTCTTTTTTCATAAAAATGAAAATAATATTAAAAGTCTTTTGAGAAAAATATAGTTTTTCAAAAATTATTAATTTATTCTTTTGTATAAAAATTTATTGAGCTAAAGTATACTCCAAAGTAGCTCCATCTTCTACCACCTAATTAAAGATGAGAAATTTATTAAAGAAATTTAGTGCATTATGGGTTTATGTATATTACATAATTTTTAATATGAAAAACTGTACGTGTGGTTTAATGCATTTAATAACTTTTTGAATAATTAAAATTTCCTAAAATATATAAAAGGTGTTTTATATATATTCACATCACGGTACTGATAGTCTTTAATAGTACTTATTTATGATATAAAAAGTGTTTATAAATGATAAAATTTTTGTTTTTGAATGAAAATATTTTCATAAAGGAAATATAAATTTTAAAAAGAATTGTTTTCTTCCTATTTATTACTAGGAATTTTTTAGCCTTTATTTTTGTTTATGGGAACATAATTTTCATAAGGAAAATATATAATAGTAAAGTAGATAATTGAAAAAAATATAATCTTGATATTCATACATTTATAGATTCAAATATTGAATGACAACATATATTTTTGAAAAGAATATATTAAAATAGTTACAGCGCTCTCAATGGTTTGAGAAATAAATATCAATACCTCATTTGTTTTCAAACCTTATTAAAAAGTGTCTATCATTTAAAAATGTTGCACATGCACCACATCAATTCGTACTATTTTTCTGTTATGGATAGTAGAGTGGGATATTTAGTATTATTATTATTGTTGTTGTTGTTGTTGTTGTTATTATTGTAATGTAGATTTTATTAGGTGAGCGAAATTATAAGCTCCTTCAAGGTTTTTTTACGGTTCTTTCCCTCGTCGCTTTTATTGAACAGTCAGGTTAGGTTTAGGGTTAGCTAGGGTTTCTTTGTCTTCTATATATTGAGATGTACCTCTTTTAGAATAATCAATCAATAAATAACTCAAAACCCTAATTCCTTCTCCCCTCTTGGTTCGCCGATTCCCTCTTCGCCTCAATTCTTCTTCTTCTTCCTCGCCCCATATTCTCAAGAGCTCGAAGACGCTCTGAGTCTTCCCTATCCGATACGAGTTCGTATCATTTTCATTCATTTTTTCATTAAAATGGGTGCATTGATACACATTTCAATCCACAGGAGCTGATAAGCATCAATGCATATTATCATTTTTAAAGTTTTTTTCGTATATAATTGTTCTATATTATGTTTTAAAATTCAAATTGGTTTGTATTTGAAATAAAAAATCGAAATTAAAAAAACATATACTTTCTCCATCTAAAGTTAAACATTTTCTTTTTTTATAAATTTTGATGAAAAGTATTACTCCATATTTTTTATTACCTGTATATGCATTTGCATGTAAAAAATTACTCCCTCCGTCCCACAAAACCCTTTCTCTTTCTTTTTTCATCCGTTCCAAAAAATATTTCTCTTTTCCTATTAAAAAGTCACTTTTACCCTATTAATTCTTAACATACCTAGCTATCACATCAAACTTTTTCTATATTAATCTACCCATTCCATCCTGCTTTATCCATCACATCAACGGACATTTTTGGAAAGTCAACAGCAAAATACACTCTCCTTAAATCCTTTAAAAGTCAAAATGAGAAATTTTTTAAGGGACGGAGGGAGTTTTAATTTCGTATAATAATACGCAGAGGTTTTACATCCACTCACTTTAAGTGGTTCCAGATGACACCAACTTCAATAAAAGTATCCTACGGTGCACCGTTCACAAGATTAATTTAATTGAACATATGTGCATGATATCAAATGATTTGATTATGAATTGAGATTTAATTTATATGGATGTTCGACGCATTAGATATCCTTACTCAGCTTCAACGCTGAGCGCGTAGTATATTTTATTTGCTACACGCAGGTAATAGAAGGAATGATGTGACGTGATCCTGGAAGCAGACGGGGGTGAGATAGTCGGGATGGATGTGATGATTTTAAATTGAAGAACATAAATAAATTATGTTTTGTGATTGTGATTTGTTATGATTCTGCAACATTGAAAACTCTGTACTATTTCTATTATTAAAAAAATATTATTGTGATAAATAAAAGTGTTTGAAATGTTTTAAATTTTTACGATTACCAAGTTAATACTTTAGTTTGAAAGGGGCTGCAGACCAGAACGAATTAGGGTGTTGCACATCCACTCTCCTATATAATACCCTATATACCCCCATATCCTGCTACTTCAAACTCCTGTATATATAATACATTAATATTTTCTCTCAATTATTTTCTTCCTCCTCTCCTCACAGAGCTTGAGCTCACCATTAGTAGTGTCAAGCTCCACTACTTCTATTATATAAACTCGCCTAAATACATAATAAAACACCATCGTTGTCATGGTACTGCCTAAAAAGGCTTGCATTTCTATCGATTTAGTTTCCACGTAAATTATACTCCCTCCATCTCATATTTTTTGACTTATCATGGTCTTCAATGCAATACTTGGACCATTAATCTTTATTTATATATAAATATACTCTATAGATTATAAAAATATGATATTTCAACTGTGTTCCAATGTATATCTATTGATATTAAATTTATATCATAATTCAATTTATTTTTATATAATTTATGGTCAAAATTTAAAAATATTGTCCATAAAAATCAAAATCAGAAGAAAGATATAGGACGAAGAATGTATTGTCTATGCATTCATAAACATTGATATATCAATGATTCGATCCATAAGTTGGACTCTTTCTTAAATTTGAACGAGTTCCCACCTTTTCCAACGAAGGATGCTCTCCCTCAGGGCCAGATTACTCCTACCTCCACACCCAGAGTAAAGGATCGTCAGCATGTCATGGTCACTAGATACATGGCTTCAAATAGCTTTCCCCCCCTTCTCTCGATGATTGGGCTGTTTTGGAACGTTAGGGGTGTACATATTTCTCTATCCTGCCTCATTTCACTTGTTAAAAAGCACAACTTTCACTTCTCGTCTCTCATTGAACCTTTGGTGGAACCAAGAAAGATTGAGTGGTACAAGCTCAAACTTAGTTTCACAAAATGTTTTTCTGCTCTTAATAATAAACTTTGGTTTCTCTGGAATGAGAGCCTCCTCACTATCCACACAGTCATCCAGGAAAACCAGATTCTCTCTTGTTGCTTCAAGTCATCATTGCAATCTTCTGCTTCTTTCTGGGTATTTAGTGTGTATGGCAATCACAGTAGAGTTGAGCGGGAAGGTTTATGGGGTTCTTTACGAAATCTTTACCAAATTCAAGGCCCTTGGATCATTGGTGGGGACTTTAATACTGTCGCCAATATCTCTGAGCATAAAGGGGTAGTATGCTTAGATTCAGATGGCATGGATGATTTCTCAAAGGCTATCTTAGACTGTGAACTTATTTCTCCCAATTTTATTGAGAGCCAATTCACTTGGTAAAAAAACTTATTTCTCAAAGGCTCTCTTTTTTTCTCAAATTTAACTGAAAATTTTGTAAAAAAACTTTAATTCATCCTCTCCCGCCAAATGCAACTCCCATTACAACTCAAATGTGAGTCAAGGAGGAATAGTTATTCCGTAGAGACGGCGGTGTAAATTCCCAAAAAGTTTACATTTAGTATTTGGTTCATACTCCAAAATTTTTAAAAAGTAGTAATTCTAAAATACAAAGGGGTAAATAGTTATTGAGTAAATTCCATAAAAGGTCCCCAGTTATAGGTCGTTTTACATATTTAATTCCTAAATGTCAAATATTACTAATTTAGTCCCCAATTATTATTTTATTTTTCACAGATGGTCCTTTGTTAAAAACATGGATAAAATTGTATATTCATACTTATCTCTCTCTTAAATTAAGCTTCTTCCTCCCTCTTGTACTCTTTCCCAAACTCGTCGCTGAGTTTGAAGCTCTAAACCCAAAACTGAAATGATCATTCCTTTCTCAATTATTAGTCTTTCTGATGGAATCTAAAATAAAAACCAATAAGCTTTATGGATGAGTTTTATCAGTTAGTCTCAAGAAATTGCAAACAAAATAAACATTAAAACGCATCCATGAAGGTTACTGGTTTCGAATTTAGGTTCCACCAGTTAGACAAACAATTGAGAGAAGAGTGATGATTTTGGTTTTGGGTTCAAAGTTTCAAACTCAGCGACGAGTTTGGGAAAGGAGTGCGAGGGGAGGGAGGAAGCTTAATTGAAGAGAGAAAGAAGTGTGAATTTAAAATTTTATCCACGTTTTTAACGAAAATATTAACAAAGGACCATTTGTGAAAATGAATACTCCCTCCGTCCCAAAAAGATTTATACCTTTCAAAAAAAATTACGTCCCACAATCTTCTACCCATTTCTATTAAAAAACCACTTTTACCCTTTACCTTTTCAAACCTTACCTATCACATCATACCTTTTTCCTAATAATCTACACATCACATCCTACTTTTACCCATAACATCAAGGGTATTTTTGGAAAGTCAACACAAAATTATCCCTCCCTTAATTTCAATTTTAGTCAAAACGTGTAAATCTTTTTGGGACGGAGGTAGTATAATAATTGGGGACTAAATTAGTAATATTTGATATGTAGGGACTAAATATGTAAAATGACTTATAACTGAGGATGTTTTATGAAATTTACTCATAGTTACTACCTCCGTCCCATTTTAAATTGCCTGTTTGCCTTTTTTCTTCATCCCAAAATAAATTGTCTGTTAGTTGTTTTCGTAAATTTTTAAAAATAAAATACCTAAACTACTTATAAAATAAGTCAATCTTCTCCACATTATATTCTCATTCATCATCATCTCTCCTAAGTATTGACAATTTCAGAAAATCAACTCTATTTTTAATTTTTCTTAAATATGTCCAAAAATCAAAACGAGCGATTTAAAACGAGAGAGAGGGAGTATTTTTTTTGATGGCCATAGTTATTTTATTACACATTAGTGCATTGAATCTTATAATGGACAGTTATTTGTGCCATTCTACAGATAATTAGGAATAAATACTCACGAGTGTTCAAATTTTTGAACTGAGATGGAAAGCTCCGAAACCCTCTGCAAAGAAGGCAGAATCTTCATTTCCCATGCCTTTTTTCCCTTCGAAACCGATTCCCCATGTCTTTGAAAGCCTTCAAGGAGGCCTTAAAACCCTGCAAGAATCGATCCTCCTCGTCTTCATCTACTCTCTCACAAACTCCCTCGATTTGCACTCAGTTCGATTCATCCACTGTAAACCCTAGAAAGCCCCCCAAATCTTCTCTTTCCCGTCAGTTTCTTCGCTTTGAAGATTCAATTTCCTGCTCATCCCTGACCCAATCACGAAGACACCAAAGTCCTACCCATTTCAGTGTCAAAGTCAAAGATGAGAAAGAAGAAGAACAAGGGGCGGGAGAAGAGGAGCCCATTGTATTTGGGAAGTCAAAGTCGGAGGCTTTTCTTCTTGACCACACAGGGCCGTATGAGCCTTTGGTTCTGTCTCCACAGGGCGAAACACCATTGATACAGGTAGTTTTACCTTCTAATAGTTAAAAGAGTTTATTTTGCTGATCTTTTGTTTAACTTCACTACACGTTGCATTTTCTTTTCCAATTCTGCATAGGGTTTTATTTAAACACCATTTTCATTTGTTTTATCCCATCATCTCCGTTGGAGTCAAAGGCTTTGGGGTATGATGGAATAAAGCAAAATTACTCTGACGCCCATTGTGGGTCATCTGTAAAAAGCCCTTCTATGTATTAAACACAGGGGAACCTTTGAGGCACTAGGGTTGGGGTAATGTTGTTGTTGTTGACTAGTAGTTTTGTTTTGTTTTTTTTGGGGACCATGGAATGATGATCGCAGACAATGGCCATGAATTTCTCTATTGCCAAACATTGGGACTTTATGAATTATGAGTTGTAATATGCATTTAAACTGTGACATGTCAGCAATCCTTACTTGTCCCGATGATTGTGTTCTAATGTTTTCCTGATAAGTTGATACTCTTGGGTACAAGGAAAAAAGGTTGGTTTGCTATGCTATCTTCTTGGAAAAAAAGTTGGTAGGGCCTAGTGGTGCAAAAGAGATAACGAGTTGTGGAGATTATCTTAGAATATGATTGATGTGAGTTCTTTAGTGCCGATATGTAGGCCTGCTCATCAAAATGCACCGAATCCCAAATACTTCTGTTGACTTCGTGATATGGCTCGTGGGTTGTTTGTTACAAGTGTCATAATTTGTTTTTATTTTTGTATGTTCTCCCTCCCCCTCTGTGTGTGTGTCTTTTTTGGCCCCTTGTAGTTTTTACTTTGAACTTCAGCATAGTCCCTCTTTGCTCTGTGGTCCCTCTTTGTACACAGTATATCTGCTCATTAAATTTTTAATGTTATATATAATTATGGAGTATTTAGAATGGAAGAAAATGTTCTTACTTTGTTATTAGATTTGGTAATTGCATGCTACATCACAGTTTAAACCATGAATTGTACACTACATCTCTAGTACTTTAGGGTTCATTTTTAATGTGGGTTGTTTTTTGCATGCATTTGGATACTTTGTATTATTGTTCCAGAGCATGCATATTCTTTTGTTCCTAGTTTGTGCATCATGTTCTTGAGGTGCACACCTCAAATGCGCTTTGCGCATTGATGCGCTGTATCCCCTTTGCGCCTTAGTGTTATAGTGTGTATCACGCTCTTAACCACTATGCGTATCCATTCTTTATTTTCAGTATAGTATTTCATGGAGTATTATGGTATTTTTCAAACTTCATCTTGAACTTGTGCAACTATTATTCCAGGTACCAGCATCTATAAATTGTAGACTTCTGGAGCATCAAAGAGGAGGAGTACAGTTTCTGTATGGTTTATACCGTAACAACTATGGAGGTGTTCTAGGAGATGACATGTTAGTGTCCTTCCCACTCTTTCCTTTGATCGTAGTATTGTACTAATGCCCCCCCTCTCTCTTGTATGCAACTCAGATATGCTAATGGATCTGCAGGGGATTAGGGAAGACAATCCAAACCATTGCTTTCTTAGCAGCTGTGTATGGAAAAGATGCAGACTCCATTGGTTCAACCTCATTGACAGGAGGGGATCTTAAAAAGAAGGGCCCCGTACTAGTCATCTGTCCAACTTCCGTAATTCATAACTGGGAGAATGAGTTCTCCAAATGGTCTACTTTTAGTGTATTTGTTCATCATGGACCAAACCGTGAGTTGATATTAGACAAACTAAAAACGTATGGAGTTGAGATAATAATTACCAGCTACGATACATACAGAATCCATGGAAGCGTTTTATCAGATGTCCAGTGGGAGATTGTGGTTATTGATGAGGCGCACCGGCTTAAGAATGACAAATCTAAACTCTATCAAGCATGTTTAGAGATTAAAACTAAGAAACGTTACGGTCTGACTGGAACCATAATGCAGAATAAAATCATGGAGCTGTTCAATCTGTTTGACTGGGTGGTACCTGGCTGTTTGGGCACACGTGAGCACTTCAGGGAGTTCTACGAGGACCCACTTAAGCATGGCCAGAGATCAACTGCTTCAAACAGACTTGTTCAAGTTGCTGAAGAAAGAAAACAGCACTTAGTGTCGGTTTTGCACAAGTATTTGTTGAGAAGGACAAAGGAGGAGACAATTAGACATCTTATGCTCGGAAAAGAAGACAATGTTGTGTTTTGTGCAATGAGTGCAATTCAAAAGCGTGTTTACCAGCGTATGTTACAGCTACCTGATGTCGAATGCCTTATCAATAAGGATCTCCCCTGTAGTTGTGGAAGCCCTCTGAAACAGGTCGAATGTTGCAAAAGGACTGTTAGGGATGGCATTATCTGGCCATACCTTCACAGAGACAATCCAGATGGTTGTGATTCCTGCCCTTTTTGCATTGTGCTTCCTTGCCTTGTCAAGCTCCAGCAGGTATTTTTTTATTTTACTGTTCTTAGGCAATTGGCTGTGTCTAGGGGAGAAGCTCATAAAGGCAGACCCTTTCTGTCTCCTCCAAACATTGCCTTACTTTCTGTTCAGTGGCATCATATTTTTATTTACCAGCTATATCAACCTTATTTTTAACTAAAGATCTTATATTTTATTGCAATAATAGAATCAGTTGACATAAATAGTAATGCAGAAAGTACAGTTGCGGTAGAAGTTTCTGAAATGAATGGAAATGACACTTCTAGCCTCATTTTAGATATCGTTATCATCACTGTTGTCATCATCAAGATTTTAATCTCAATTAGTTGGGGCCAATGACATTAAATCTATACTGTCTATTAATTCCATAAATAATGAGATGAAAATTAAAATATTCCCTTCATGACACAATCTTCTTAAGAAGGAATAATGAGATGAAAATTCTAAAACTGTCATCAGTTTCATCATCATATATTATTTCCACATGCAATAAAAATGTCATGATACCTCATCACATAGGTGAGTTGAGATGTTTGCTATTGCTCTATGTCCATTGTATGTTTGATATTGCTAGACCAACATTTTAACTCTATGACATTACCACAAATAAGATATTGTCATCTTTAATTATTTTGATAGTTCAACAAGTTCAACCCTATTAGTTAGTTTAGGTGCTTGTTGAACAATTTCAGCCAAGTTTAGCCCTACAAATGGGCTCCAGTGTTCAGTACACCTTTATTAAAATAAAATGAAGAAAAAATTTGATTAAACACATTATGTGACACTCCAAGGTGATCTCTTTGCATTTTCCAGCGCAAGGAAATTCAGATATATAATCTACCATGAATGATTCAATTGATTAATTTCTTCTCTTCTATACTTCTATTTTTTTATACCAAAATCTAAATCTCTCTTACAGATAAGCAATCACTTAGAACTCATCAAACCTAATCCAAGGGACGATCCTGACAAGCAAAGAAAAGATGCAGAATTTGCTGCTGCTGTATTTGGCCCTGATAGTGATTTGATTGGGGGAAATACTCAGAGTGAGAGTTTTATGGGTCTGAGTGATGTCAAGCATTGTGGGAAAATGAGAGCTTTGGAGAAGCTTTTGTTCACTTGGATTTCACAGGGTGACAAGATTCTTCTTTTCAGTTATTCTGTGAGGTAAGTTGTGCCTTTCATTGGGATTTTTTCATTGTTTTATGCTTGTTATTTTGAATGAAACATGAAAATAAAAATAACCTCAACCCATTGTAGTCTCATAAAATTTTCCATGCATGTGGAAATAACTTGTGATGATAACGAGAAGGGCATACTGCATCCGGCACAATATGTTGTCCTATAATATTAATTAGGAGAAATCTTCAATTTGGATCCAATACAAATATCATTCCATTAAAAAACTTAATTAATTATATTTTATATTCCTAATTTAAAATAGATATCTGAATAATTTTTTTCCTAAATTTAATAAAGACTATTTTCTCACTACTAATTATACATTAGGTAATCAACAAATATTATGTATGTTGTGAAATCTTACACCATGCTCATTAGAGAAAAGTAATTTATAGTAAATGAAAATACATATATACATAATGCCATATTTAAAATTTAAATGCATTGCATGTTATAACTATTTACCAAAAGTATTATAGTTCCTCCACGTACCCCACAGACACACATATATATACACAACATAGTTCCTTAGAAAAACTTCAAGTTCAAGCTCTTTTAATTTGTGTGTGATAATAATATAATAATATGTGATCTTTTGTGGAATCCCCTTACTACTATGGCAATCCCGAAAAGAGACCAATGGGAGGTGGAGGAAGTTACTATCAACAACCCCCACTGGCCTCTGTTGTCCCAAACTACCAATATCCCGATAGTAGGTTATTACGCTAATACGCTTCGATGGCTAAGTTTAAAACCGATCATCACCCCCACTAGCAACGCTATCAAGATGTCAAATGCGGCAACGATTAATATGGTCTATTCCCGAGTTACTTTGACCAGCAACATCGGGAGTAGTGTTGTTCCCTAGTCAAAAGAGGCACTGTGGAACAATGCTTCTCGAGGTTTTCTAAGCGGTACCACTCTTATGTGAAGCCGGACGGGAAAACAATCAAAACTTTTGTTAGCACATACCAACCTTGCCGTGATTATCTCGATCATTTCAAGAAAAAGTGATTACAGTCTAGTATAATATAATGCCATTTAGTGATTACGATCGAGTATAATATAGGAAGTTAATTGTATTTGTTTTGTTTTTCTCAAGTGGTTTCCTCCATGTTGTTTTCTCCCTTTTCTCTCTTCGCTTGCTCAAGTGTTTGTTTTTCAAGTACAGGATGCTGGATATACTCGAAAAATTTCTTATACGCAAAGGGTATTGTTTTTCGAGACTCGATGGCTCTACTCCAACTAGCTTGCGTCAATCTCTTGTAGACGACTTCAACTCCAGCCCAAGCAAACAGGTAACTTTAAGGCGTAGATGGTGGAATCTAATCATGACAAGGTCTTCTTCACCATGAATTTGCACTCTTTCTCATTCGATCTTTAGGTGTTTCTCATATCAACAAGAGCTGGTGGCCTTGGACTCAACCTTGTCAGTGCAAACCGTGTAGTGATTTTTGATCCAAACTGGAATCCTGCTCAGGATTTGCAAGCCCAAGACAGATCATTTCGGTTTGGGCAGAAGAGGCATGTCATTGTTTTTCGTCTTCTTGCTGCTGGTTCTCTTGAAGAGCTTATTTACTCTAGGCAGATATACAAACAACAGCTATCTAATATTGCTATTTCTGGATCCACTGAGAAGCGATACTTTGAAGGTGTGCAGGTCAGAAGTCAACCTTTTATTTCTCTCTCCCTGTGATATTTGTTAAATTGGACCAACTTCCTCATAGGGATCTTTAATAGGTGAGTTATATAATAGATGCAGTTGTGCTATTCTTATGGGAGAAGGGGAAAAATTCACAAACCTAAAACTTTCAGGATTGCAAAGAGTATCAAGGGGAGCTATTTGGAATCTGCAATCTTTTCCGGGATTTGTCTGATCAGCTTTTTACAAGTGATATCATTGAATTGCACGGGACTAAAGGCAACGAAGATGGTGGAAGTTTTAAACAGGGTTCAAATGACCGTGAGGGGCATGCTATCCCCAATCAAGAAACTATTGGACTTGAGGGGAAAAATGCAACATTTAAGCTTCAAGACCTTGGTAAGTCTCTATCTCCTACCCAAAAGTAATCGAGTTCTTGATAAAAATGTTGTTGGTTAATCACTCTTGGCTGATAAAATTGGATGGCTTATAGGTGTTGTTTATGCTCATCGCAATGAAGATGTTGTTAACCTCCGAAATGTGGGAATCCCAATTAATGGGGAGCATCTGAACCAAACCACGCAACAGATGGATTTTCCAGTAATTGGGAGACGAAAATCTGATGCGATGAACGCGAAAGAGGAGGAAGAAGATCATGATAAGGTGAAGATGCGTAAGAGAAGGCAGTTCACACGTATCGCCCAGTTCATGGGTATGGAAGATAAGCAATTTAGCAAATGGATACTGTCTGCAACTCCAGCAGAAAGGGAAATGGTGCTCCAAGATTATGGGAAGAGAAAGAAGAGTTCTGAGATTTCTCTACTTTGTGGCATGAAATAGTCTGTGTGATGTATAATGTATGTTTAGTTAGTTGGTCACAGTTATAGTTAGCCGGATGGTTCATAGTTTAGGAAAGCAATAAACACCATATATAATGCAAATATAACTAAAATGGTTTTACAGAATAATAATTTGGTTACCATTATAATCTGGCGTTCTTATATGATGAAGCAGACTGCCAAACTGTTTCTTGGTTCCACAAATGAATATATATAACAAAACTGAAAGAAATGAACTGAGCAGTTGAGATGATCGCCGGAATGGCTGTGCTTAGGACAATGGATGTCCTTTGAATTATTGCCCTGTTTTATTCAAAGATCATGGTAATTTTGTCCAAAAAGGTATATGGTCTCGCCACCTCCTGCCCACCCACCAGGGCTGTAAATGAATTGAATATTTTTTGTTCGATTCGTGATTTGTATTCGAATTAGCTTATTCGTATTCGATTTTTTCGAATCCAAATCTGAATACAAATCTTAATAAATATTTGAATCCTTATCGAATATGAATCAAATTAATTATTTCGGTTCGCGAGTTTGACGAATATTTTCGGAATATAAATTTAATTATTCTGCGCCAGACGTTATCCTCATCGTTCCCCTTTCATCTTCTCCGCTTCTCTCCTCTTCGCCGCTCTCCTCTTTCAAATATCTGCTCTTTCATCTTTCTCGTCTTCTAACATTTCACCGTTCTCCTCTATCCTTTCATATACTCTCGTCTTTCTAGGGTTTGGATCTAGGGTTTCTTCTTTATCTATATCTGCAAAATGTCTGATCTAGGGGACCTCTAACCGCTTTCGAGATCTAAGGTTAGTGTCTTTTACTCCCTCCGTCCTCTAGTATTTGTCCAGTATTCCTTTTTTGGTCGTCCCACAATATTTGTCCACTTTCCTTTTTAAGTAACAAAAATAAAATGAAAGGTCCAATTTGCCCTCAAAAACAAATATGCCATTCTCCCTAGGCACTCATTCTCATATTTCCCCAATTTAATTACTCTTTATCCTTTAGATGGATTTCAATTGCAGCTTCTCCCAATTTCATCTATCTCTTATCGTGAGTTTGTATTCCAATTGCACTACTTGGACCAAATAAATTGACACACTCTGTCTCATCTTAGGATCTCGTCTTCAGAGCTGTCTTCAAGGTCGCCTTCCACAACACCTCCTCTAGAGGTTGTCTGTCGCCGTCGAGATCAGCTCGACTGCAAATGATCGTCGCCGTTGAGGCTCTCTGCACTTCCAACGACCCAAACCTCTCACCTATGTAGCCCAATTATCCGTCCATCAAGCTTCTTTCTTTCTTCGTCATCTAAATCCTAGATCTGATGTGACTCGGCAAGATCTTCTCTGATCTCCGAGCAACGATATGGGTGGCGGCGGGATGGGTTCATTGGGTTGTGTAGCAGCTAACTTGGAGGTGGAGGGCTGGAGGGCTGGTGGAGTTGTTGAGCGATGAGCAGAATCGAAACTCTAGCCGTGGAAGAAGGGGGGTATTTTTGTATTTCTCATTTCTAATTATCCAATCCTTGGTTGCCGTGCCCAAACAAAAGTGGACATAAACTGAGGGACGGAGGGAGTAACATTTTCTTATATTAATCTTATTTAACAATATGTAATTAATATTTTTCATTTGATTTTTCTACAGATCGTAGTGATGGATGAAATAGATGATGAAATGAATTTCTCATATGTCCCTAGTACTCCCGATTCATATGAATCAGAGCTTGAATATGTTTTTGATGAGATTTGTATTGAAAAACAAGTGGAAATGTTGAGGGAAAAACTTGTTATGTATTACAAAACTCCTGGAGACGATGAGTCTAAAGAGGATGACCCTAAACAGGATGATCGTAAAGAGGAAGAGAACAAAGAAGATGAGGACGATGATGACACCCAATATGAGTCCTACAAATATGAAAAAGATGATGTTTTGTGGGAATTGTTTATATCAGATCCAAAGGGACGCTCCTAGGACTTTTAGGGGAGTATTACTCTCTTCTTGTGTGGGCCTGGTGTAATATTTTAATTATGTGTCTCACTATGTACATTACTCTATTTTCTGACACTAATTGGGAAACTGATGATGACAATTTACACTAAACTATGCCCTATGACTAGATGCCTGCATGTTGTTTGTAATTTGCTAATGGTGAATTTGCAACTGTTTGTGATGTTTGTGTGTGTCTTATGGAACCCTAATATATGTTTCTTAAAGCCACCCACTTAAGATTAGTGTAGGAGGTAACATTGTGTGGCCCCCACTATATCTAGTTTTTAGAGGTGTTAAGACTAATAACAAACATACATTCATAAAAAAAGAGTTTGCATACACATAAGTGCCCATACACACTTTTGACAAAAAACCCAGCAAAGTGCATATGATGAGCAGATTTCAAAAAACAAAAAAGAAAATACTTTCAAGGATGAAAACACTTCAATTGTTTCTGATGCACTCCCTTCTACATGCCTACCTGGGACACCTTGTAAAGCACACAGACTATCCTCATAGAGTTCCGTGCTTACCTGAAGTTGGTTAATGTACCTTCACTCTCAAGTCTTACCTTACCAATGTGTGCCAACTTGTGATTGTTTCCTCCTTGTACCTTCATGATCTCTGTCATTGCTAACAGGTAACTAATCCAAACATTGTTGAGTTTCTTAGCATTTAAATCAGCATATGCCTCAGCCACATGTTGTACCAACTCATCCACATTTCTAGTTGATGTCAGATGTTGTAATGACTATATTGATGCAAAGAACCCCATGTCTAAAATATTTAGGTTTGGTGAGTTTGGTGGTTGACATGTAAGCTCAATGTTGTAACCATCAGCATTGGCTGCTTGCACAAACTCTAGGCCATTAACATCAATATGTGGCTTGGCATTATCCTGTTGTATGGTTATGTGTTTTGTGATTGCTTCTGGTACTTTCTCCTTAATTATTGGAAACATTTTCTGAATCATCAATCTCTTATACACCTCTTTTGTGATTTTAGGTATGGGTTTGATCTCTAAAGTTCCTGCTGTCCTATTCTTACTTCTCCTTCGTGTAGGAACTTGAATGGTTAGAGGCCAAATGCCTACTTTCCCATCCAAATGACCTCCTCTATAGGATCAAAGATAGGCCTCCCTACTGCACATAAGTGCATCAGTTTGGGAATGTGAGCCTTACTTTTAGTTGTCCTATGAGACTCTCTCTCTTTTTTAGATTTGTATGCTCTCAATGATTGTTTGGACATTTCAAACCATTTTTCATCCACATGGATAGTATAGAAAAAGTCTTGAAAAATGGGTGAGTGGGGAAGGGATTCTGGAACAAATTGGTTTAAGACAAAAGCTAACCTTTCCAGCTTATTTTCTTCTGTGAGGAAAGATTTGATAGCATTTGTGTGGCTTTGTAGTTGCCCTTCTTATATGCACCTATGTAGTGTGGATTTCGGTACTTGTATAGCTGCAGACAATGATCGTATGTTTATTCTTTTGAGAAATGGAGTTCTCTCTCTCTTTGTTTCAAATCTAAATGCACTCTTTTTCTACCAATGATCCCTGTCCTGTTGCTACTTGCATCCAATAGTGACCCATCCATAAGTTGGTTACAACAAGTACGCCAAAGTGAACTAAGAATTCTACAGCATATGTTGAAGTCGTTCATGATTTCTTTAATCTTGTGGTGCTGAAATTTTGGAGTCAAAATTTGACTTTAAAGTCAAAATCAACTTGGGAGGTGCAATTGAAGGGGGTGAGGGGCCGCGTTCGGGTCAAGGCGTGGTGGGGGGTTTACCGGGGGGTTAGGGGGGTAGGAATCGTCAATTTTACGAACGGGGCACCGGAGCACCCCCGAGTCATCCTATGACATTGGTTCTCAATGTCATTTGAACCGGCTCCCTAAAAAATGTATGGAAAAGAAGATATCGGATGGAGTATGGGTCATCATAAAGGCCCATCGAGTTGCTTAGGACCTTTCCTATTTGCTTTAAGTATCGCCATGTCACACGAGCTTTCTTTCACTCGTTATTTTTTTAACTGGTGATTTGGTGAAGGAAGGAGCGAAGGAATCAAAAGAACGCGGGTTTGAATGAAAAGTCAGCAGTAAGGTGCTCGCTCGAATTTAATCTCCACCCCACCGCCATTTGACGCCATAGCCACCGATTGACGCGGAGAAATTACCCCTAAATCCACACAGAAACCACAAACCAGCCATAATCTCTTGAAGTAATACTGAATTTTTTTCCTTCAAGATTTCATTTTGATCAGGGGGTTTTGGTGCTCGCAAGAAAGGGAGGCACAATCATGCCGGGAGGAAGAGAAATTCTTAACAAGATGAAGGTAGTAAGTAACTTCAGTGATTTTCAGCCTTGATTTCTGTTTTCTTTAGCTTTTTTCTTTTTCCTGTTACCCAGTTCTTGTTTTTGATATGTTGCCTACAGTCAGAGGAGTCAAGTATTTGATGTTCACTTTTTTATCCTTCTGCTACCCAATTTTTTATTTTTAACTTTGTGGGGGTGGGGGTATGTTTGCTTTATTAGAAAGTTCTGGAACACAGTTTGAATACTTGAGTGATTTGTAGAAACTTTATATGGTCTTGATTTTTCAATATGTGCTTTTGACCTTTGTTTAAGATTCTTGAAATAGCATTAAACTTTTAGACAATGCTAGGGGAACCCAATTTTTGACACCAAAATTGTCTCTTTTTTTTTGCCTTTGATGTCAGAAGTTGTGTCAAAAGCGGGTTTCCCAAGCGTTTTCTTGAACTTTTTGCATAAACATTTTCAAACTTTATATATTCTTATGTCTTGCTTATGTGATCCACATTTGCCAACTCAATTTGAATGATCTTAGCTCTATTCGGTTATGTGTATTGGTTCTCTTCAATTTGCATATAAATGTTGTAAGAATCTATATCTGTTAACATACACGGTTAATTGGAAAACACGAATCATCTGCCGCTGAATCTTTTAGCACATTTTGTGTCTCAGGAGAAGGCGTGCTTTTACACCTCAACTGTAGGCTCACCGGACACAGGGAAAGGTAAAAGCACATCAAAGAGGATCACTCATGGCTTCCACCTAGTGAAAGGAAAAGCAAATCACGCCATGGAAGATTATGTAGTTTCAATGTTTAAGCAAGTCGATGATAATGATTTGGGCCTTTTTGCCATCTTTGATGGGCATATGGGTCATGATGTTGCCAATTACTTACATTTACACCTATTTGACAATATATTAAAGCAGGTGACCTTTATATATATTAGCATATTTCTCTAGTTATTATATGCTATTTTCCAGAGTTCTCCACTCTCTTCCTTTCTTCACGGGGATTCTTTTTGAACAGCCTGACTTTTGGGCTGATACTGAGAATGCAATAAGGAGGGCTTACCATGCAACAGACAGTGATATATTGGAGAAATCAATGCACCTTGGGAGAGGAGGCTCAACTGCAGTCACAGCTATACTGATAAATGGTCAAAAGCTTGTTGTTGCAAATGTGGGAGATTCTCGCGCTGTCATTTCCAGGAAATGTTCTGCCAAGCAGCTCTCAGTTGACCATGAACCTAACAAAGAAAAGCCTGTCATTGAAAGCAAAGGCGGTTTTGTATCAAACCTTCCAGGTCTCCTTTTATTTATCATTTAAAGGTTTTCATTTGCGTGGTTAGTAAGGAACAACTATGGGTTGTGAAAGAAAATTGCTAAATTGCACCAACTCTTTCCCCTTCCCTTTTCACACAGGCACCCACGGGCCCAAGAACAATCGCCTGTTTGTGACTCGGACACTCTTTGTGTGTTTGTGTGAAATGGTCAAGGTTGGTGACGACCACCCATTGTGACACAGAAAAAGCTCGGGGAATCCAACTTTTGACACCAAATGCAAACACAAACAAGAGTGTTTCATGTTTGTGATGTTTGTAAAGGTATTGAAGTCAAAAGTGGGGCACAACTTGGGATTCCCCGAGCATGACTTATAACTTTTTGTGCAGAAGTGTCTTGTGAGTGTATGTTTGCCTTTAGTGTCAAAAGTGGGGTTACCCTGGCATTGCCCTTTGGAAAATAGGGTGATGTGTTTTTTTTCATATTGGGTGATAGTTTATAGTTCTTTTACAGGCGATGTCCCTCGAGTTGATGGGCAGTTGGCCGTTGCGAGGGCATTTGGAGACAAGAGCTTGAAGAGGCACCTGAGTTCAGAACCTGATGTGAAAACCGAGTTGATCGATGATGACGTGGACTTCATCATTTTGGCGAGCGATGGGCTATGGAAGGCAAGTTGTTTTTCTCTCTCTTTGTATAGCTTTCGGCCACCTCTTCGTGTCGCATTTCTCAATCCCATTACTTGCCGTTTCACCAGGTGATGACAAATCAAGAGGCAGTCGACGCGATCAAGAAAGTAAAGGATGCAGAGTCAGCGGCCAAGCTACTGGCGGAGGCCGCGGTTGTTAGGAAAAGCAAGGATGATATATCATGTATAGTTGTTAAGTTTCAATGAGTGTTTTTCGGTGAATATTTTTTAGCCGAAGTTATTTTGTGTATAAAGACGATTGTTTGATGAGAAAACTTTTCACTGTACTGTTGAGTCTATGCTTGTATGTATATACTACCTATGGATTTAAAATGTATTGCTGTGATTTTTTTTTAAAAAAGTGTTTAAATGTCCCAATTTTAGTTGTCTCTTTTCATTTTTAGTTCATCCCTAATAACATTGCCCGTTTTCTGAAATACCCCTCTTATTTATTACTCCCTCCGTCCCTAAATAAAGTTCCACTTTCGTTTTTTCTCCGTCCCTAAATAAAGTTCTTTTTTCCCAAAACCGGACATTTATGCCCTTTAACCTAAAGACTACCCAACCCAACCCAATCCTACCCTAATAATTCCACCTTCTCTCTCCTGCCCATTCCTTTTCCCCATCGCCGCACTGTACCCCCTCTCCTCTCCTCCTTTGTTCCGATCTATCTTCCGTTCTTCTTGAGAAATTGAATCACCACCAATGGTGATTCGTGACTCTTTGATGCCCAGCTTCAAGCTATTAAGCGATAGTGACGAAGAAATTCTTTCTCGTTTGCCTACCTCAAATTCTCTCAAACCTGTTATCCCTAAATACGACTCTGGTGACAGCGGATCTGGTACATCCGATACAGATCCGACATGGTGGTATCGGAAAAAGTACCTTGGGGGAGGCCATTTTCCCTCAGAGGATGAAGGGGGCTCTGACGAAGAAGATGGGGAAGAGGAGGAATCAGTTACTTCAGCACAGATATTGGACATGTCTGATACTGAAATTTTCTTCGATGAGCCTTTAGATGATGACGAGAAGGCACTACGCTTCAGAAAGAGTACTATCTCCCTTCTCTTAATTTTCAGTCTTTGATTCTGCTTTGCATGTCCAATTTTAAGTTTTTTTTTGGCGAACTTATGATGCAAACAACCATTACTCTGACTGATTTAAAGGTATGAGGTATACTGGGCATTGTAGCTATATTGTAATGTCACCCCTTATTGGTTGGAGACTTACAAAAATCAATTTTTCTGGTCTACCCTTTCTGTTTTGTGTCAAAAAACCATTTTGATTTGGTAAAAGAGATGTTATGCTTGGCTTTTTGATTTGGTAAAACAAATCCTATGGTTGCCTTTAAAATTAGTAAAACAGATGCTATGCTTGGCTTATGATTTGGTAAAACAGATGCTATGTTTGGCTTATGATTTGGTAAAACAGATGCTATGCTTGACTTATGATTTGGTAAAACAGATGCTATGCTTGGCTGATGATTTGGTAAAACAGATGATATGCTTGACTTATGATTTGGTAAAACAGATGCTATGCTTGGCTTTTGATTAGGTAAAACAGATCCTATGGGTGCCTATTAAATTAGTAAAACAGATTCTATGCTTGGTAAACCATTTACTAAACCATTAACAATATAAGGGTACTTTTACATACATGACCAAAGATAAGGTATACTTGTAGTACAATATAATGTATACTTTCATTACAATCTAAACTGTAATACCACAAAAATCAAAAATATCCCATTGCCTAAAATCTGCATGTTCAAAAGTTCTTCTTTGGCTTTCAAATGTCCCTGTAACACTTGTTCTCATCTAATAATTGTGCAAAAAGTCTCTGGAAGTACATGGAAACATTGTATCTTTTCTTGGCCATGTTTGCACATATATCAAAAAGTACACTAAATCAAGGTACTGATATTTGTTCCTCTAAGAACAGTTTTGCAGTTTCATAGACCTGTCTGGTAACCCCCAAGTTTTGGGGCAGTGTCCCTTCTCTGGCCAACCTTGTTTTTCCAATGTGAGGGATTTTGAATTGGTTACCACCTTTGTGACTTAAAACCTCACCCATGACCCCTTGAAGAGTCAAAAATACATTATTAAGTTTCTCTGGTGATAGTTCTTCATAAGCTGTTGTAACAGCTTGAATCAACTCTGTCAAGGACCTAGCTGCTGTTTGGTCTTGCAGAGAGTCAATGGACCTAAAGAATCCAAGATCAAGTACGTTTAGGTCAGGGCTGTTGGGTGGCTGGAACTTCAGTTGGATGTTCTAATTATCTTCTTGAGCAGCTTCTATAAGATCAGGGTCACTGCCATGCACACGAGGCTTAGCATTATCTTGCTGTACTATTATATTCCTTGATGGTCCTGGCCATTTTTCTTTAATGGCTGGCAGTAACTTAGTAAGCAACATCATCTTCATCACTTCTCTACTTATGATTGGGATGGGCTTTACTTCCATTGTTCCTGCAGGCCTGTTCTTACTTGACCTTTGAGATGGAGCTTTACTTCCATTGTTTTGTTATGTCAAACCATTTCTCATCAATATGAATCTGGTCATAAAAGTCATGGAATTTTGGGCTAATGGGGACAGAGGGGGCAGTTACATGATCCAAACAGAACTTCAGTCTATTAAGCATACCTTTTTTTGATAGTAGTGGCTTGATGGCATTTGAATGCCTCCTGATGTTTTTCCACTTAAGCCATCTATGGACTGTGGATTTTGACAGATCCATAGCATGGGCAAGTGCACGCATGTTCTTTCTCCTATTAAAAGGCACTGCTGCCATTTTTTCCATAACTAGAGGGAGCCTTTTTCTGCCACTATTCCCTTTCCTTTTGCATTCAACATTAACGGGTAAACCACCCTCGAGTTGACTTGTAGCTACTGCCCAAAGCTTGCTAACTGTTTTCACTGAAAAGCTGAATTCCTCAGCTACCTTCTTAATGACACCGTGCTGAAGTTTGCCGTTTTTGGACTGTTGCAGTAACACATCGACCACCCTTTTTCGTTTTTCATTGTGTACACAACCTTTCCTGTTGTTTTCACTTTCTGTTGCAGGAGTGTCGAGGTTAGGAAAAGGCACGTCAATCACTTGGAGAAGATTGTCAAACAAGGATGACTCATCGTCTGAAAAGGAAAAGGAAGTGGATGAATCCAAAGAAGATTCAGGAGGGGCCATGAAGAAGCTTAAGAAGAGAAGAAAGAATAAGTGAATGCATTCAATGCATTCCTTAAATAGAATTCTGATTTTGATGTATTTCCATTTTCGTTTTGGTTGGAGGGAAGTTCAAATTTCCCCCAAAAAAATTGGTGGCTGTAATTGTAGTGTATTTGTTCAGCCGTACAGGAAGTATGGGCTGCTTCCTGTTTTCCTCTCATCAATGTACTGCCGATTTGATTGCATGTGTACTCCATTTAATTATTTAATCCCACTTTACACTATTCATACTTTTGCTTTTCTCTACTTTATTTTAGGGTTGGGGGTAAAAAGGGAAAGTCAAAGCACAAATATCCCTCCCTTAATTCCTCCAAAAGTCAAAAACGGAACATTATTAAAGGACGGAGGGAGTATTTCACTCCCCACCCACCTTTCCCTCACCACATTCCTCGTTATGTCAACTTGTCTTCCTCCCCTTTCCAATTGAAATCTTCTTCAATCTTTTTTCTCCTTTCGAATTGAGTAAATACTAAACACCTTAGGACCAAGAAGACAAAAAAAGCACTTTGGGAATGAATACTCCGAGTTTTGGTCATACATACAAAATATTGAATTAATATGGGTATTCTCGGCCACAAAATAAAAAAATCAATGCATTCTTAATAATCATGAATTAATCTTAAAAGCCAGATAAATAGGAATGGAAAGAGTACGTTCAAACTCTCACTTTGCTACTCGTTCAACCAACGATGCTATTGCCGCATATTATATTATACATCTGGTGGTACGGAAAGAACCGTATAGTAACATGTTTTTCGTGTTGTAAGAGCGGTTATAAGTCAATGACGTTGATGGGTATATCCCTATACCCGACCCGGACAACCGAAAGGGACAGGTCAAAATATGACCGGTCACTTTTATCTATCACCAAATGAGGTTAACTCTTCGATTGGGACGGGTCAAAAGTTGACCGGTCACTTCCACTAAAAAAGTGACCGGTCACATTTTGGGCGATAGCCAAAATGTCGCCTAATGTTACAAAGGACATTCTAGAAGACCAGAGACGGGTTGAGCACAAAGAATGACCGGGTAACCTTTGAGAGAAGGTGACCGGTCATGTCACTTTACTTTGCAAACATTGGTCCAGTATCTCAGGCATGGTGAACCACGTCAAAGATCGAGGGACCACCCCGCCNCTTGGCTTATAGTTGCTAAATTCTATGATTGTACAGTGCTTCCATTATCTACAGTGACCTTCCCACAAGCTTCCTATTTTGTCCATGGATGAACAGGGGAGGGTCACAAATCCTCCTCTATAAATATGATGATATTGATAGAGGAGGGGATCCAATTTTTCTCTCACTAAAGTTCACTCTTGAGATAGAGTAAGAAATATAATTCGGACTGAGGAGATTTACCCGGTCTAGGTCATACTTTGTGTTCTTGTTGTGTGTTTTATATTACGGGTCGAGTGTGTCCAGGTCAAACCCGGTTAACCCACCCCGCTATATTTACACCATCATTTTTGGCGCCGACCGTGGGACAGATTTTTAAAGTTTTTTCGACCAGGTCAAAACTTTACCCCCACTAAATATCCACAATCATGTCTTCGAGCAACTACAACACGGTTTCAAGCCAGGTTGCGAGTGAAAGGACTCCTGCCATCCCATTGATGATGCCAGGCATGGGGACGACCTTTGCCCCGATTATCACTGTAGGATCGATTGGCATGATCCCAATCATGTCAACCCCTACTCCTACGCCGACGACAACAATGTTCCCAGGCTCGATAACAACACCTGGGGGAGTATTCGCACCATACCAGTCAGCTTGGGCACAATTTGCTGCTGACCCGGCAAATGCTCAGGCTCTACAGGGCTATCAACAGGTGATGGCCATGATGCAACAGGCAGGGGGCTTCATGCCATTTGCCTATCCTGGCATGACGTCACTAATTATGCCACCCCCGGTGTCGACTCCATCAACAGTCGTTCCAAGGATGGTCCCTGTGCATCCGGTGAATTTGACGGGGACCATGAATGAGGCAGCTCCCTCAAATGTCCATGAATTTGACGAGGCGGAACAGGAGGCAGCCCGCAGAGGGAAGGGTAAGGCTATAGCCAAACCCAGCAAGACCCGAGATTCGGCGTTCAAACGCCTAGGGGACAAAGAGGATGGACCCCGCAAGTCTGCCAAGCTACGTCTTGGTCCTGAGATGGGCCGGACTAGCGCAATGGAAAGACTTGGCGGGAGTCGTCCTGCCCCATCTCGTCATTTTAGGGAATCTGAGACGATTCACCTAGATGAGGAGGAAGCTGAAAGCCAGCCCAAAGCATCGGCGTATATTAGGCTCTCATACGATGAGGATGACCTGGACAAGATGGGGAGCATAGTGAGAAAGCTACGTGCCTTGGGGGAAAGGGTAGAAGAGAAGGAGGGAGCGAAGAAGCACACCCTGGCCAAATCACCCTTTTCAGCCAGGGTACATACACAAAACTTGAGGCGGAAGGTCAAGCTGGACGTGGAGAAATTCACTAGAAAGGAGGATCCAAATGTCCACCTTGACACCTTCCATGATGCAGCGCAAATGGCCGGGTTTACTAATGCTGAAGAATGCCTACTCTTCTTCTCATCCTTGAGAGGGAGGCCAGTGGAATGGTTTAACAGCCTTCCACATGGTAAGATCGGGTCCTTTGAAAAACTTGCTGAGATTTTTCGCAAGAAGTACGAGGACAACTGCATCAAAAGGAAGAAGTTCACCTACCTTAACACGGTAGGGTAGAGGGAGAACGAGTCCTTGACTCAGTTCTTAACTCGCTGGAGGGACGAGGTCGACAAAGTAGAAGAGATGGACGACAAGACGGCCATTTCTTTGCTGATGAATGCCTTTCGGTCGGGTGACCTCTACACTGAATTTTGTAGAAGGCCACCCTCCTCTTATCAGGAAGCCTACAATATGGCATGGGAGTACACGGAGGCGGAGGTCCTAAAGAAGAGAAAACGAGAACTGGAAGAAGGTTATATGAAGGTCAAGACCGAGAAGCCAAAAAAGGACGACCATATGGGAGGGTCCAGGCCAAGGACCACATATGATGGGACGGCCCACCAAATTAGAAATGAGAAGAAGGGAGAATAACCCAAGCGGCCTTGGACAGAGAAGTGGTGTACCTATCACAAATCTGACTCCCACAACACGACAGATTGCCGAAATGTCAAGGTTGTGCTCAAGGAGATGACCTTGAAAGGGGAATTGGATGAAGTATTCGTTACGGGGCTTGAGGAAGACCCATAGGCGAGTACTTGAATCCACCCACATGAATATGATCATGGAAAGAAGAGAGGGTGGATAAGATGTGGTCAAGATTACTAAGCTTGCTGTAGACGGATCAGTCTTGATGTCTATGACCTGGACCGTTGCATGGGCTAATAACAAAAAAAAGAGAAAAAAGAAACCCTTGAGATAGGGGCCTTGATGTTGAGGTATCGCCTTGAGACAGGCTGGATCCGGAAGAGGATTCGCATCCATACTTACATGGATCCCTACCGACTTGTTGGTAGGGAAGGTTTAGAAAAGATGCCAAAAAAATATTACCGTCTTGTATGAGCCATCCTTTGTGGATCGGAATGTCTAGGGAAGACTAGGATTTCCGAACACATAATATATGGACGTGCAAGATTGGATGAGGGCTGGTTCTCACCGGCATACCCCCATGTGGGAAGATTAGGTTGGCTAGGTCAACCTAATAATTAGAGAATGGCACATTAAAAGACTTAAAACCTGGAAGAGGGGCCCTGGAAGAAGGGTGTTGCCTGGAAGAGGGCTGAACCTTGGAGAAGGTTCGCGATCATAGGACATGGTCAAAATCTCGGAAAAAATATCAGGTCTTGATGTTGAGACTTGATGATTCCAAAACCGTTTCGGATTATTTGTTCGAAGTTTGAGCAAGATTGCTGTTAGGCATGACTCCAGGCCAAAGGAGTAAAAGAAAGTGGCATGGTAAAAAATGACCGGTCACTTTTTAATGTTCTAGATTGGCAAGAAAAAGCGAATGGGGTAAAATTGAAATTTGACCGGTCAACTTTGTCAAAAGTGACCGGTCACTTTTTAATGTTCGGATTTGATGAAATCAGATAAGTTTGGAAAAACTTATTTTTGACCGGTCACATTTTGACCCGGCACCTGGACAGAAATTTGAGGCAAGACTGATGACGTTACATGACCAAACCATTGGGATTGAACCAGGACGAAATTCAACCTAGACGTCTACTACATTTCAACCTGGAAGTAAACCGGATCAGAAGACAAGTCGAGCACAAGGTGACCTGGATATTTTCAAGTCTGGAGACCAGGACATGAGATGACCTGGATGTTCTTAAAATGTTTCTTAAGGGCATGAAATGACCTGGACGTTTTCAAGACTTGCACTTGACCAGGACATAAGATGACCCGGACGTTTTCAAGATTTGCACTTGACCAAGACATGAGATGACCTGGACGTTTTCAAGATTTGCACTTGACTAGGACATGAGATGACCCGGACGTTTTCAAGACTTGCACTTGACCAGGACATGAGATGACCCGGATGTTTTCAAGACTTGCATTTGACCAGGACATGAAATGACCTGGACGTTTTCAAGACTTGCACTTGACCAGGACATGATATAACCCGGACGTTTTCAGGACTTGCACAAAGTGCCCTGGTCGCTTTAAGGAGTTGATGAGAATAAAAGTTTAGACCAGGACCTACTAGACCCGGGCGTCCTTCAAAAGTTTCAACGAAGCCTACTAGACCTGGATGTTTTCAAGACTAGGGCATGAGATGACCGAGACATTCTAAAAAGAATTCCTAAGAGAGGGCCAAGCAAGAAAACAACCATGTAAGTATTCATCTAGCTAGCTAGCTACATTATCATTATTCTTTGCGAAACGTATTAACGTCGGAGATAATAATGCGCAGGATTCGGGGTGGGGCTCAAGAATTGGCTACGAATAACGTTTGCAATAGAGCCATCAACTCTTGATGATGGCCTTAGAAGGCTCACATCTTTTTGTCAAAGGCATGCCAAGAAACAATGAGCTTTCGATCTTCAGTCTGGATACTACCATGGGTACATCCATGGTAGGGTGCCACCACCTGGATACTACTATGGGTATAACCATGTTTCGCACAGATGATAACCATCTGTGTTGCACGGATGATTTCTATTTGTGTTATCTGTGCGAAGCATAGATGCACTTATGGTACCACCCATGTGGTGACACCCTAGCATGACAATGGATTATTTAACTATGTGGTGGAGCTAGTACAACGTCTTGTTGGATCTCAAACTTAAGCTTATCTTTATATTTTGGCTTGCCTTGGTGAATAAATTGTAGGCCCTTGTTCCCCCTCCAAAAGAAAAAAGAAATAATAAATTAAAACAGGTTGGATTAGATGAACTTACCATACTAGCTTATGGAAATGATCATCCATACGTGATAGGGCTGGGTCGGGAAAATCGAAAACCGAAAACCGAACCGAAATCGATCGAAACGAGCTAGAAAAAAAACCGAACCGAAAAAACCGAAACCGAATGTAAAAAAACCGAACCGAACCGTTATTGTTTGGTTCCGTTTTAGTTTTTACTTTGAAAAACCGAACCGAACCGAATAAACCGAACTTATTTATATGCTTCATTTTATTTATATGAGTATATGTGATATGTATAAAAATCATATAAACAAAAATGCAAATAAATTACTAGTCAATTAAAGTTTTTTCTTAACTATTAATTAAACATTTTAACCATATTATAAACTTTAAAAAATCTAAGAATATAAACACCAATAACTAATCCTAATATAGAATTATATAATATTAAAAATTAAAATGAGTAGTTAACATATTTAAATAAAAAAAAACTTTGATGTTATAATGAAAATGAAAGTATTATATAAAAAAATCCAAATTCTCTGCAATTGATTTTACATACGATATCTTTAAAATTATTTAGAATCTTCTAAATGTTTGTTAGGCACTTGGCACATATTTTGTATATAAAATTGAACCAATGAGAAGACTAACCTTCCGCTCGGCTTTTTTTGTGTGTAAAAATCAAGCAAAAAAACCAAACCCAAACTTACGTATTGTTATTGCTTTGTCGAGTTAGTATTTATACAATTTTTAATGCTTATAAATATTTACTTTTACAAACCGAAAAAACCGAAAAAAACCAAAGTAAAAACCGCATAAAACCAAACCGAATAACCAACGGTTTACATATTTTTTATGCAAAACCGAACCGAACCGAACCGCCAACTTACCTTCCGTTTTGTCTTTGGTTTTGCATAAAAACCGAACCGCAAAAACCGAACCCACCCCTAATACGTGATGAGCTCCAATGAAATTGTTATTACATTAGCATTATGTAAAATGATACTTTGATAGATTAATGTCTATATATTGGCTGTTTTACTAAATTCTAGGTTGGGTAAGTTCTTGGTTATATATCTAATTTATAGTAATCACCTTGTCTCATACTCCCTCCGTTTTTTAAAACCCTTCCTCTTTCATTTTTTTTGTTTTTCTTAAAACACTTCCCCTTTCTATTAAAAACCCACTTTTAACCCCTACTTTTTCATACCCTACCTATCACATCATACTTTTTCACTAACAACTAAACTATCACATCTTACTTTTACCCATCACATCAAGGGCAAAATTGGAAAGTCAATTACAATTTAACACTTCCTTGTTTTCTCCCAAAGTCAAAAAAGGAACTCTTTTGAGAAACGGAGGTAGCATCTTTCTTCTCTTTTTTAATTTTCTAGTTAATTTTGTTTTAAATTTTGACCATAAATTAGGATAAAATAAATTAAATTGTGATATATAAATTGTTTTTTAATTTTCAAAATGAAATTTTGAAATATCATATTTTTATAATACACAGTACTTATGTGTTTATATGTTATAAAGTAATAGATAAATTCAAGGCTAAATTGTTACATTGAAAATCGTGAAAAATGAAATGGGTATAAAGATGTGAGACGGAGTGAGTATGCGTATTTTGGTTCCTTGTTATGTGCATGCGACGGTGCAAGAGCTAAATAGCTCTGGTGCCCCATTTGGTTTGAGCTTTTCTCAAAACTTATAAAATCTCATAGCTTCAAAAAAGTATGCCCCGTTCGTCGGTGAATTTTCGGCATTTTTTTCACGCTACAAGAGTGCGTTTGAAGTTTGATAGTCGGAGAATGGTACATATTTTTCAAACCACAAGGATACCTGAACCCATTTTTAAATTTCCATTCATTTGTTTATTTTTTTTACTTTTTTTATTTTCTTTGTTTCTTTTTTCATACAGTTTTTATTGAATTTATTTGATAAAAAATATTTTTAAAAGGTTTTAGAATTCAAAAATGTTTGTGTTTGAAATAAAAATAGATGAAATGAAAAAAATTAACATATGCTTCATCTTTCTCAAATTAAATATTTTCCTTTTTTGTTTTCTTAAATAAAAATGAGAACTTTTTTGGGGGCTACATTTTGTAATATATATTTTCATAGTATAAAAGAATCATGCTTTATTTTGGGGGCTATATTTTAATATTATAATAGAATTATGCTTTTTACAAAAAAGAAAAGATTCATTTTGTTGAAAAATGTGATAAAGACTACATTTTATATGTGTATCTTGTGCTAAATTGGTATTAATCTTTTAATTGGTATTTCTTGTGCTAAATTAAGTCTTTTGTTCGGATACATAGGAATTTTCTATAATCAAATTCTTTATAAAATTTTAAAAATGTTCTTTCTCTTCGGTATTTTCCTTCTCATTTTGAATTATTGGTCAACGTTTTAAAAGTTTGACAATAAATTACAAAAAAGTATTCCCTCCGTCCACAAATAAACTTTACGTTCACTATTCACAGGGTCAAACTTTATTCACTTTGTTGGCCTATTTTCGTCACCCATTTGATAAAATAATATAGTCATGTCATCTCTAGTTTTGTAGATCTTTTGATATATTTTTTTAATATGTAATTTTTATTTTTCATTTCTACACCATTTTTCATATAAAATGATTTGAAAATAAATCAGTGAAACATCGTAACGCGCAATGTAAAGTTTATTTGTGGACAGAGGGAGTATATTGAAATTACTTCGTAAAATAAAAGTTAATATCAATAACTTTATTTTGAACAATATATTAAAAATATCAGGTTTACATATATATATACACACACACACACACATATACATACATATATGTGTTTGTGTGTGTGTATATATATATATATATATCTTTATATAAATAGATATACTAATAATTGATAATTATAGTATTGGTTATGAAAAATTAAATAAAAATAAATATACTGGACGAAAGAAGTACTATATGATCTGGGTCCAATTTTACTTGGCTTGGTTTGTTCTGGGTGCAATTTTACTTAGCTTGGCACCCCGCTGGTGTAACAAAATCAGTTAAATTTCACAAATTGTAAATAAACTTTCAATCAGTTAAATTTCACAAATTGTAAATAAACTTTCAACCTTTTTTATCTGTGTAATTTATCTAAATAGAACTAAACATAATAACGTTCTCAATATAGGATCATATATTTTTATTTTCCAATGTAGGACCATTGTTCATAATTTATTAGTCATTATTCAATTAATTAAATGTCCAGCATCACTTGGACATTATTCTTCTCACTAGTCATTATTAAATTTTATTTAAGAAATAAAAAAATTTAAATCCTACATTAAAAAATGATTTATGTTTTATCGTATTCAGTAGAAATTTCACTTTTATTTTGGTATATAAACTTTGAGCCCGGTTCCATGGCCACTGGATTCCAGTGGCCACGGAAGCCACTGTCCCCCTACGGAGCTCCGTTCATAAAATTGATGATTCCTACCCCCTCTAACCCTCCCGGTAAACCCCCCCTCCCCCCGCCAAGTCCCGACCCAAACTAATCACCTCACCTACGTCAATTGCATCTCGTAAGTATAAAGTCAAAACTTTTGACTTTAGAGTCAATTATACTTACGAGGTGCAATTGACGTAGGTGGGGTGATTAGTTTAGATCGAAACATTGCGGGGGTTTATCGAGGAGTTAGAGGGGTAGGAATCATTAATTTTATGAACGGAGCTCCGTAGGGGACAGTAACTTCCGTAGCCATTGAATCCAGTGGTCATGGAATTGGACTCGTAAACTTTCCTTGGCCTCAAGTTCTTTGTTTATTATTTTTTCTTTTTTTCTCCTTCCAACTTTCACTCTACAGAAACCCGCAAGAGTCAAAAGATACTAAAACGGACTTGTCTCCTACCGTTAGAAAGTGCGTCCATAATATATTCACGCAAACCACCACTCACAAGAAGAAGGCCCGTTAAGAAATGACCCGAATTGAATCGACCTGAAAGAAATTCAAATCCCACTATTCCTTCCAACGGTTCTTCCTCCTTCCCCAGAAATTCATACTCTGCAAATCCCAGCCAGAGCCCAGCCATGAACATCACCCCTCAGTCTAGTCGTTCGACCAGATTGAAATCAGCTTCAAGATTATGTAAGCTCCAGTGCTTCGACCGCCCGGATTCTGAAACCCTAACTATTGTCCCCTCGCCCTCACTTTCAGCTTCGTCTCCGAAGCCCCGGGATGGCCTCCCGATGATCCGGGATCTCCTTCTTCTGTCTCCTTCTATTGCTCGCAGGGAGAAGATCCGGTCGGCGGAGAAGCTCGGAGTGGCTGAAGATGGCGTGGAGGTTATTAGTGGGGGTGGGAGGAGATCCAGGAGCCGGAATGCAGCGGGAGGGGGATTGGGGTGTGCTTCTCCTAAAATTCACCGGAGATCGAGAAGGCGGTTAGATCTAGAATTGACGAAGGAAGAGAGAAATTTGGGGGGAGAAGAGGGTCTTAAGCCAAGAAAGAAGAGACACAGTGGGAGATATAAGAAAGACAAGCTTGGCTTAGTTCCAGTACCGTCTCCAAGTTTGCTCACTTTTCCTTCGATGAACATCTTCTTTTCTTCTTCATTTTTTCATTTTATGGCTGCTGACTTTTTTTTAAATTCAATGTGTTTGTAGAACCAATGAAAGAAGCTGAGGGGGTTTATCTTGATAGAATTGGGGAGCAGATAAATGATTTGGTGATGTGGAGGGATGTAGCAAGATCAAGTCTCTTGTTTGGGTTTGGGTCTCTCTGCTTCTTATCATCTTGTTTTTCCAATGGAGTTACCATAAGGTATGCCTGCCCCAATTCTTGATACTCATACCTTCCATTATTGTCTGATTATTACAAAATTCATCTCTTTGGGTGAATTATGAAATATAGTCAATTCTTTAGTTCTTGTTCATTTGGCCATAAACTCCAAATGTGATCACTTTTTTAGTCAAAATTTCATTTTACTGGAACATTTGAGTCTCATCAACAGTCTTACTTAATTGATATTTAGTAGTCAAAAGAGTCGGCCAATTCAAATCTTCTTTAAATTCAAAATTCATATCGAAATTGAAAAATTTTAAAGACTTGTTACGTATTATCTAGGTTCCGAAAATTGCCAATTACTTTTTATATCAAATAGGCCTACACTTATTGAAACATTCTAACATTTTGGTTGCAGTATTGTCTCCCTCATGTCTCACGTTGGTCTGCTGCTTTTGGTGGTATCATTTTTCTTGAATTCATTTCGGTCGAGGTAGGGCTATCTTCAAGAATACTGCTTACATTATTTGGTTTCCTTTTTATGTTTTCACTAAATATGGCACAAATGATGTATGTTCAGATATAGTGTTGAAGGTAAGCTGGATATCCGGCTTAAAGAAGAAGATATTCAGAGATTTGGCAGGTTGATACTTCCAACAGTAAATCTTGCAATTTTGAAGACAAGAGAGTTGTTTTCAGGAGAGCCGGGCACAACCCTTAAAGTAAATGTTGCATACTTATCATTGTTAAAAAACACTACGCATTTGATTACTGGTGGAGTATAACGAAATAGGTCAAAATTTAAACTGAGAATTGTACTCTGTACTTCTTTTGGGGTGGTTTAGGTAGTACCATTCCTGATTGTTGGAGCTGAATGCGGCCATCTGCTATCTCTGTGGAGGCTATGCGCATTTGGTAAGTGACTATTTTTTTTAGTATTAACTTTATTATAATGTAGTATCTGTCCATATGAACTTTCTCAAGCTACTGAAGCATAAAAAGTCAATGCTCCACTGGGATTTGAACTTGTGACCTCACATTTGGGAGAGCAAAAGTTATGCCGCTAGATCACAAGATCTTTGGCAGTAAGTGACTATTACATTACTAGAGTCCTAAACAATGTTCTATCTATCCCCATTAAGTTCTTACTTTCTTTTTTAGGATTTTCAAAACTAACTTCACACTTCCATATTAAGTAATACTAGAGGTAGGGTAGTAAATGATAATAATACCTATTATTGTCAATTTTCCATAAAGTTGACTTGTCACCTAAGCAATCAATCTTTAATGTTTTTCCTAATTAAGTTCACGTTTCCATATGAGGTAATACTATAGGTAGTCCCCAAACCCTATTGTGTGGGGGATTCTATTGGGTTTGTTGTTCTTGTAATACTATAGGTAGCAAATGACAACAATACCTCTAGAAATTGTCAGTTTCCCAAAAAGTTATCTTGTCATGTTAGCATTCCATCTGTAATTGAGGGTCATATTTGAAAAAAAAAAATCAACATTAAAATTTAAAACTTGTGAGGTGAAAGTGTGAACTTTATTTGCATAGTTAAACTTACTCTTCTATTTCAGTCAACCCAAGGTTTCATTTTCGATCTCCCTTTTCATTTGGTTTTGTATGTTTATTATGCTGCTTTAACAGGGTTTTTCATCAGCTTCACTGTCCCAAAGTTGTATTCTTCATACTCCAGCCTAATATGTAGAAAAGGTATTAAAATAGTTTGTATTGCCCCTGTAGTAGTAGTAATCACAGTCTCTTTACGCACGACTGTTTGTACACATAACACTAAAATCCACAGTTGAGAGCTTAAAGTATCGGGCCATTGAGAGATGGGGAAGTTGCTCTCACAAGAAGGCTATAGCAGCATCAGCACTGACTGCCTTTTGGAACCTTAGCACTGCTAGAACCCGCATTTTTGCCGGTAAATTTTCGCCTCCCAAGTTGATTTTTTTTCTATTTTTCTTTCCGACGTAAAGTAGTAAAAAGGGGAAGGCTGAAATTTCGTTGATCTTTCTGCAGCATTCATCTGCATTGCAGTAATTAGATATTGTAGACAGAAGTCTGAAGAAAAGGATGAAGAACAAGAACGAGAAGAAGAGACTGTGAAAGGAGATAATATAGAAAGGTTAAAGAATGAAAATAAATGATCATAAGGCACTGATTGTGTTGTAATGAATTCCATTAGTATTACTTCTTTTTCTTGTTTGTTGTTGTTGTTGTATATTAATTAAAAAGAAATCCTCTGTGGCTCAATCTTTTTTTGTTGTTTTAATTGTATAAATGAACTGGTGTGCCTCAGGTCCATAGCCGATAATATTTTCAATAACCTGGGCGCATTTATATTGATATGGTTTACCATTAGAGACGGAAAGAGTAGCATATGCGTAGAGAGATCTCTTTATCCCAAATTAACCTTTAGATGTCAGCAGGTGTGTAAAAAAGACATGTAGCTACAGTGCATTTTACGCTTAGTTCAAGCAAATGTCACTTGTGTAATGTTTAAACAACCTTTAGTTCACGCAAATGGCCACATTAAGCTGCGATGCAACCCCGAAACGATGTCGTTCCGGGATTTCCATATGGCACAAAGGTTAAAGAAGGTAAGGAATATTTTACTGTATGGTATGAGTGGGGCCCCAGTGACGGGGCTGAAGTAATAGATGTAGATTTCTGCCATTCGGAGAAGCGATACCACGCTAATACGTGTCCCAGAACGACATCGTTTCGTAGCATGGTGTCGCTTCTCTGAATGCCATAAATATACATTTATTGCTTCAGCTCCGTCATTGAGCCCCGCTAATGGCCCACCCCCTGAAGGTAAATGAAGATTAATGTCGGTTCGGCAGATCGCAAGGAACCATACAAGTGCATTCCATGCGGCTTGCAAGTCGCAATCTCAAAATCCTATCCCCCATTTGGCCTCAAAATTCATGGCCCTAAGAGAAAAGATCGAAGAGAAAAGTGGTAAAGAAGAGTCTACAGGCTCTTCCTCATTTTAAATACATAAATATAGCCACCTCGCTAGAGCAATCTGAATAAAATAGGGTTCTTAGAAACATAGAACAAGTGAAAGCCTACGAAGAATGAATCAAGGAAAAAGACATGAAAACACAATGTAAATTGTTTTTCTTGAACGGTTAAAGCTCTAATTCTCAAAGCAGAGAAAATAGATCGAGAGGACAATGTCGAGGCTGGCAACAAAGGTCGAGGAAGAGAACAAGAATGGGATGAAGAGGACCACGATTAAAGTCAAAGCCGAGATAGTCAAGATCATAGGTCAAAGAAGAACCAATGATCGTCAAAGCAAAGAAATGATAGATATCATGTTGATTGAAACCAGTGTGATAAATTTGGTCATTTTGCATCAATGTGTTAGAAGCGTATGAAGAAACACGAAGGGCTAATTTGAATAAAGGGATCCATCTTTGTTTATGATGAGATGTGATCAAGAGTAGCTATTTTTAATTGAATAAAGGGTGATTCTAAAGCGTTTCGAGACCAAGCCAGTGGTGAAAGACACTTGGTATCTCGACAATAGATCATCGAATTACATGACGGGTAATCAAGCTTACTTTTTCGAACTTAATGAACGTGTCATGAGAAAGGTGAAATTTGGAGATGGATATTGTATTGACATACAAGGAAAGGGATAATATTACTTGAAGAGAAAATGAGGGAGCATTGTCTGTCAACCGATATTTACTAGATACCGAGTCTACAAAGCAACATAGATTATAAGTCTTGGTCAAGCAATATAAGAGATGCAACATCCACATGAAATACAATTTGCTAACCATTATTGATGATACAAGTAAGCTTATGATGAAGAGTGTCAAGGTCGAATTACCGTTTTTACAATATTAGCCTCGAGATAGCTAGTCCTTATACACAAGTTAGCATGATTAGAATGAATTGAAGAATTTTGTGGGTCGAGATCTACAAAGAGAACTGAAAGATGATATGCCAAGTACAAGTCACAATCTTATCAAAGATCTAAGTTTAAAAGAGACCCAAAACTGAAGGTCCAAAAAATAATATTCAAGAGTTTTTTTTTAAAATGTCAATAAAAAATATTCAAGCCCAAAGAAGGACATATAATGATCGTAAGAAGCAAGTGTTTGTTCAAGCAAAGTGTAGTCCAAATAAATTGAAAGGGATCAAGAAAAGTCTCGGGAGAATCAATGTAATGAAGACATGCTTGGAGTTGAAAACTTCTCAAAATCCATGTCAAGATTTTGTTTTTGGGAAGGTGGGGAGGATGGGGGTGGGCTAACTACGGAGTAAAGATAGATTAACACTATATAAAATCATAAATAAAGATGAGCAAAGAGACTTTGATCGAAAAGATGGATCAGGATAGATCAAGATCAGACTGGATAAGATTAGGACCAAAGTGCGTGGTCTTTGGGAACGGACGAGTCTCTGGTAGTCTCATTTGGTCCTCTAGATTAAAGGAAACACTATGCCGATCAGAGACCAGTGATCTTTTGTGAAAAGACTAGACCGGGACCAGGCCAGGATTATATAGTCCAATAATATAATATTAAAATATAATTTTTACATAAATACTTTTATTCTTTAACATGTTATTTTAATAGAAATATGTTTATCTTATTAATATACAACTTCATACATCATATTCTTGTTATAAATTTAAAATATGTCATGACACATGACAACCTCAAATATACTCCCTCCATTTCTTAAGTGCTATTTAGGGAATAAAATAATTTAAGTGTTATTTAGGGAAATGACTTAAGTTTTAATGCTATTTAGTGCGAATATTTCTTTCGAGGAATTTACTTAAATAGCACTAAAACGTAATGACTTTCCTTAAATAGCACCACATGTGTTTTTCTTCCCAATGTAGCACTTTTAGTCATGATGCAGTAGTCATTATTCAAGTAAATATTCGTCATCATTGGACATTATGGACATTATTAAGTGCTATTTAGGAAATAAAATAGTTTAAGTGCTATTTAGGAAAATGACTTAAGTTTTAGTGCTATTTAGTGCAATTATTTCTTTCTTAAAATCACTCCTTTTTGACTTTAGGCCAAAATAAGGAGTATATATTTATGGGTGACTTTCTAATTTTGTCCTTGATATGATTGATAAAAGTAAAATGTGATTGGTAGATTGTTAGTAAAAAAAAGTATGATGTGATAAGTAGGGTAAGAAAAAGCATTGGGTAAAAGTGATCTGTTAATAACAACCGGAATTATTTTGGGGAAAGAAAAAAAAATAAAAGAGGAAGTTTTTTAAGAAACGAAGAGAGTACATGTTTATACAAAAAGAATTACTTGGTACTGTTTTGTTGGTTGTATGTAATTTCTATTTTTGAAAATTACATTAATAGTGCATGAATACTTTATATTATAAAAAATTAGATAAAAAAAAATACTTCATGATATTATTTATTTATGTTTTCTAAAAAAACAAAAAAGTACTCTATAATATTTTAAAAATAAAATGTAAAATCATTTTTTGGAACAACGAAAAAAGAAATATGAAAAGCTATATATTGCGAAGAGGAATGGATTACTAATATGAAACCTTGGAAAGAGAGGAAGAATTCAATACCTTCCCCACCTTCAACAACAAGGGACAACGTGCGTGCTTTCAAAGGGACAAATAATAGTTATCGTCTTTTATTTATATTTCCCTTCCCTTTCCAAATAAGCCTTCTTCCTGCCCCGGGGTATAGTATAGCATAGCATAGTATAGGACTTCATTCATTCATTCATTCATTTTGAAGCAAGCAAGGGAAAAACAAGGGCGGTGGGGAAAAATGAGGGGTTGCCCTTCATGCGGTCGTCCGGCGACGACGGAGTGGGAGGAGGAGGAGAAAATAAAGGGCGGTGGCCGGAGGATTCATGAGCTGCCCGGGGGTTTGCCGGCGGGGGTGAAGTTCGACCCAAACGATCAAGAGATTCTTCAGCATTTGGAGTCTAAGATGCGTTTGGATGCTCACCCTCTCATTGATGACTTCATCCACACTCTTCATGGAGATGATGGCATTTGCTGCACCCATCCTGAAAAATTACCAGGTTTCTATTTTCATTAGAAATATTTGTACTATATAGCACTAAAACTTAAGTCATTTCTCTAAATAGCACTTAGATTGTTTTCTTCCCTAAATAGCACTTTATAATGTCCATAATGACCAGTGATAGCAAATATTTACTTGAATAATGACTAATGGATAATGACTAAAAGTGCTACATTGAGAAAAAAACATATGTAGTGCTATTCAAGAAAGTCATTATGTTCTAATGCTATTTAGGTAAATTCCTCTTTTTATTATTATTATTATCATTATTTTTAAATTATTATTTACTTTGATGCTGTATTTAGGATCCGTTTGGTAACGGATTCAGCGTTTTGCTTTAACACTTGGAAAAACTATCTAATCACAACGCTTATGATGCTTAATTTCAATACTTTCAAAGTTAATCTGCATTGTTAAATAATTACGCATATAACGCGTTAATTTGCATGTTCTCTATGAATTTGTTGTTCATTTTTTATTAGTTATGGAAAAAATTAAATTCGGAGTATTTAGTTACTCATAATTTATTAAACGAATTATTACGAGTTACTCCGTAGTTTTTTTTTGAGCCACTCCCTAGTTTGTACTCCCCTGTCTTAATTTTAATTGCAAATTTTTTCTCTCTCCTTCGATAACTTTTATTTATTTATTTATTTTCATTGATTATTTGATAAAATAAACTGTTCTTGTCACCTCTTGTTTTGTAGAATTTTTTGACATAGTTTTTTAACATGTTATTTTAATTTTTTATTGATGTAACAATTTGTAAATAAAATGATTTCAAAAGTAATGAGATTTTGCCTCGTAATTTCTAATTTGTAATCAAAATTAGGACGGAGGAAGTATTATTTAAAAGTGCTTCAATGGTGCACCTTGGGTGCAAATTATTTTTGTGGGCCTTCTCATATAAAAAATCTATTTTTTTATTTTTTAATTAAAAAAAGATGCTTATTTAAACAGTAAAAAATATTTATTTTGTTCAAATATAAGTCTATGAGAGACTTTATGTCCACCATAGAATTTGCCATTATTTAAAGAACATAAAAGGATTACACCATGATTCTTTTTACATCGATAGTTGATGTAATATTTTGGCATTTTAGACACTTAAAATGCTCTAAAAGAACTTCACCCCTTCTATTGGCTTATTGCCAACATTTCTATAGTGAATTCGAAGGGGTGGTAAAGGGCTAGGGTGAGGGTGCAGGATGATTTTAGCTGGTGAAAGCCCTTTTTGAGCCCAACGCAACACTGTTTATGTCAAAAGTGCACCGATGTCATAAAATGACATGAGGGGTTGATGTCAAAAAAAAAATGAAATTTGTGGTTGGACAAATTAAATTGTGAAAGATTGTTGTCAAAGACGATGTGGTCCAGCGGTATCGTGATGATTCTCTATGGGGAGGTCACATGTTTAAACTCCAGCGGTGACTGTGACTTTATGTAATTTAATAGGTTGAGAATGTATGAAAAAAATATTACATTGCAATTGAGTTATTAATGTTTGAAAAGGTTGAAATACTTCTTAATACTCCCTACTTTAATTACTCTTTTTAAATAATTCAAGATATTAAGGGAGTTGGACAATAAAATTTGGTGGAAAGGAACAATATGGTACTCCCTGTTTTTGCATACTAGCTGCACTTAACTTGACTCTTACCCAATTGTCTTTTCTATCATCCCTTTCTCATCTTCTAATGAAAGATCCATTTTGTCTGAATTAAAAGCCCACATCATCAATTTCATTGCATCCTCTACCAAACACAAGACCACTTTAGCTCTATAATACTTTACCTCCTTTTGACATTATTCTCATCTTCTCAAGTTGATATATCATACTCTTCAAAGAGAGTTGATAAGAAGTAGAAGTTTACTAAATTAACCCAAATGAAAATGGAAATAGTATCTTAAATGAGATGAGTAAGGTGTAAATAAATAAAGAGAATGAGGGTAGTTGTGGTAAGTTTTAAAAAAAGATAATGGAAACATTTTTTCCAAAAAAAAGTAGTAAAATTTGCAATGAATAAGACAAACATAAGTCATTTTCCAATGTAGGACTTAACTTTTTTATTCTCTAAATAGGAATTAATAATGTCTAACGAGAAAAATAATGTACAAGTAATGTTGGGCATTTAATTGAATAATGACTAATAGATAATTACCAATAATGGTCCTAGATTGATAAATAAAAATAAACAGTCCTATATTGAAAAAGTCATTATATTTTAGTTTTATTTAAGTAAATTACCCAAAAAAGTATTTAAGAAGATCTTTTTTGTTTTGCTGTTTTTTTTACTTTTTTAATGCATGCCTTTGTTTTGTTTCTTTTTGCTGCGATTTCAATTTTTTGTTTTGCTATTTTTTTTGTTTAGTTTTGCAGTAGAGGGCGTAATTCAATCTCCTAAATCATTAGGTTTTTAAATTAATTTTGTTTATGTATTTAATTGTTATAATAAAAAACCAAAAAAATTAATTAATCCAAAATGAGAAAAAAATTTAATAACAAAATAAAATAGATATTAGTGATGATGTGACACTAAGAGGGGTGTATTCAATTAGGATTATGAAAGATTTAGATAAATTGTTTAAAGTCAATGGATTCTACAAAATCTATGGATTATTTTAAGTCTATGCAGAGTTTGATAAATTTTAATGTATTTTATCAACGGAATTTTATAAGATTCTGTTTGATTGTTTTTAATCCACAGATTATTTATACATAAATATGAATTATTATATAAATTTATACATTGTTGTAACATGAACTATTGTACTCCCTCTGTCCAGCATAGATCTTCACGGACACTATTCACAAGGTCAAACTTGACTCACTTTGTTTGTTTATTTTTACTAGTCATTTCGTAAAATAGTATAGTCTTGTCACCTCTAGTTTTATAGAACTTTTCATGTACTCCGTAGTTTATTACTATGTATTTTATAATTTGGAGTGAGCCGCAAATAGCCTCATGAATCGAAATGTAAGCACCGAAAGTGTCAAATTTGAAGATTCAACACAACAGAGCAAGCACAATATATTGAATACGGCGTAGTTTTATTGAAGAATTAGGTGACTTATTTGCCGCCATTATCATCACAATTTATTTATATTGTGGTTTCCCCACTATAGAAATGAATGATGATGGTAATGTTGATATAATAAATCATCTCATTATGCTTCTTTTTTATCCTAAAGGCACATAAAAACTTAGAAAATTACCCGGAAAATTATTTGGACTTACATATGAACAAAATTCTAAGATCTACCATGGATCTATATATTAACAAAATAAGCAATTTTTATTACTTAAATAAGCATTTGTTATTTAATAAAGTTTTTTTGTGAGATGATCTATAAAAATAGTACCACACAAGGTGCACCATAAAAGCACTCATAAGAATAAAGTTAATCATAAACTCTTTATCCATATAGGAGTACATTATGTTTTTAAGAATTTATGTCTTAAGGAAAGTTATCTATGCAATAAGACAAACACAACAACAAGAACACAATAGGATATTCATGTTTTTTTATCTCAAAATAAGACATAAGACATAATGTCAATGATGCCAACATAGAATAACAAATAATACTATGCAATGCTAATATACAGTGTCGCATTATTATAGTGCAATAGTTTTATGAAAATTTTGCTTCATATAGAACTAAAAGATAGTATATTTCCCTGAATAGGACCAAATATGTTTTATTCCCTTTATGACACAGAATTCTATATGATTTGCCATATATGCCCTCACTAGCAACAAGTGTTGGATAATAAATGATTGTACGAATGACTCTATGAATGTGGTCATTAGAAATAAGTATTCGATAATAACTGATTATTTTAATGACTATTCAAATCGCTTTTAATAATGTCTTATTCTATTTGAATTGTGTAATTGATCATTTTTCTCAAAGGCAGGACATTTTAGAACTTTCCATTGTCAAACGTTAGAGTAGATAGGACTAGTCTTATTTAGAGAAAAATGATATGTTTAAGTCCATTTGCATAAATTTCCCTAGTTTTATTTTGAGTATAAAAACATGACACTTCTACTTTGGGGATAAAACTTATGTTTTTTTCTCCTATTTTGGATGATTTATTTAACACTTATACTCCGTATATTACTATTTTCTCGTGTTTTCTTTTTTTTGCATAATGGTTTTATGGTTTCTTCACTAAAATTACATGTAGGAGTCACAAAAGATGGTTTAGTCCGGCACTTTTTTCACAGACCATCCAAGGCTTATACCACCGGCACTAGGAAGAGAAGAAAAGTGCACACGGAGGCCGACGGTAGCGAAACGCGGTGGCACAAAACGGGAAAGACAAGGCCGGTGGCGGTGAAAGGCAAGATGAAAGGGTACAAGAAAATTCTAGTGTTGTATACAAACTACGGGAAGCAACGAAAGCCCGAGAAAACCAATTGGGTGATGCATCAATACCACCTAGGAGATGACGAAGACGAGAAAGAAGGAGAGCTTGTTGCATCAAAGATTTTCTACCAAACACAACCTAGACAATGTAGTGGTGGCCCACAACTTAAGGACTCTCTCCTACCTCTTGTCAAGGCCAATGGCACCGGCGATGAAGTTTCGAGAGGAAAGGGGTCCCATGACAAGGTCACAACGACGGTTGAATCATTCGATCCAACTCTCATATCCTTTGATCAATACGGTCATGATCGACCCACCACTCAACTACTCCCAAATTTTAATATGTGTGACACTCCCTTCATTCCTTGATGATAATTATACTGTCCCAACGTTCATAGACATTGCTAAAATTGCTTATATGTTGGTATATGTATATTTTGCTACACCCAATCTTCTTGTTGTAACAAAAAAAGAGACGATGAACTCATCATCAATTAACTTGAATAAAACGAAATTCCCTATCAGCATTGAACATAAAAGAGTATTAATCAGCAAAAGGGGGATCAACAATCTCATCTTCATATAATGACCAAGGGTTTAACATGATATCATACAATTGAACACTTAATTAGCAAAAGCACACAAAAATCGAAATCGAGCATTCTTGCTAACCTTTACAATGTTTGGAAGCCATGGAATTGTTTCGCTCGCAAACAAAGAATCATAACCCAGAGCGTTACTCCTTCAGTCTCTGCCTTGTTCACATATATCAAAACGATAACACACATTAAAGTGAGAAAATGATAGTAGTAATGGCTCCATTTCTCTTTAAGAATTTCAGAAATAGCAGATAATACGTAGTAATATACTAACACAGTCATGTTTGATACAATCATACAGACTTTCTGGATAAACAATTAGAAGATCATTTGCTTCGTGAATGTGTTCTTCTTCTTCTTCTACAAATAATTACTCCCTAAATCTGCTTGAGACCTTAAACATAGACCCAATCAACCAAAGAACTTCAAAAACTATGGAATAGCTCACAAATGAACATAATCGACAAGGAAACCGAGGGAAAACTGGAATCTGGCCTGAAACAAAAAACCTGATATTGGAGACTATGATGTCTCATTCTTCTTCTTCTTCTTCTTCCGGAGTATGTATACACTGGTCTCCTCGTAACCGTACTCTGGGTGCAAATGCTCTTGTGGAACTCTCTCGGCATCAAAAACCTCAGGGCAGAGGTCCCAGAACATCCTGTGCGCCTCGGGAGATCGAAGCTGGTAGCCAAGCAAAACGACGCCGTGTTCCTTGAGAAGAGATTCCATGGCGGAGATGAGAGGGCCCACCGTTTCCTCCAGGTAAACCACGTCGGTGGCGATGACGAAGTCGAACCGCTTCCCCAATGCACTGATCTGATCCGGCTTGTTCCAATACAAAACCGCCGTCCTCAACGATTTTCCGAGAACTTTCTTGTTGCGCTTCAGGTTGTGCTTTAGGGCCGGCATGACGGGGGAGATGTCGGTGAGGACGATGTCTTTCAGGCCCAATAAGAACAGACCCATAGCGGCGATTCCGCATCCGGCTCCGAGTTCCACGCCGCTCTTGTCTTTGAAGTCGAGGAGTTGGGCGTAGGGGTTTTCGGGGGCGGCGCACGACGGCGGGTGCCAGCGCTCGGCGAACTTGGCGAGGACGAGTGAGCACGGCCAGACGCTGGTGCCCACGTGCATCGTTCCGTTGTCTTGCTGGACGGAGAGCTGCTTATCCAGCACCGGAAGGTCGATCACCGGCGAATCTGTGAATTTCATCTCTGCAACTTCCGGTGGATTTCTCGGACAGAATGAGCCCTTGCAGGTTCAGGCCCGTTAAGTTGATACGCAAATTGGTCTCGCTGGTCATGGGACTGTCTTGGGGAACCGCTTGGTTGATGGGCTCATCGGATTCCCCGTCCATAAATCAATAGAGGTCCAAATATGGAAGTCCACTTAGATTAAGAATGTAAAATAAATAAAGAGATTTCAGTTTAAAGTCAATTGACCAAATAAATAAATTTAAAATAGTTTTAGTTAAGTCTCGTAATTTGTGATAAGAAAAACATTTTCGTACAAAGAAGACCTTTTTAAAATATTACGTACATAAAAAATTTTACTCGTATAAAATAGTAAATAATACCGAGTAGGGCTGTTTTGATATTACAAACAATAAAATCAATAATTAAGGAAAGAATATAATTTTACCGTTTAAATAGTGATAGAGAAATTTATTTAGAAACAGAAATGATAAATTTGCTATAAATTTGTTTTTAAAATTTTTAACACCATCGATGTCATGAATATGACACAACTCCTTGAGAGTCACGTAATATTACATTTGACCACAAACTGAGTCTAACCCTAGTGCACTGTTTGAACCCAAAGCCTCCGGACTATCACCGCCCTCCCCCTATAATATTCAATAATAGGGGCACCTCCCTCCCTTAGGCGACCACCCATACAAAAGCCTCGAATCCAATAGAACACTAGTTGTATAGTCCTTAAATAGCCTGCAATAATCTACGAGATTCAATAATCGAAATTAGAAAATGCATTACTTATTTCGTGAAGCAAAAATAATAATATTTTATCCATCTCATCATGACTTGCTTTATGAAGTGGAAACAATAATATTTTCTTCTTCTCATCGTGTTCAATCTACGCTCTCTTTGACACGAGAATAAAAAAACCTGAGAAATGGCATAGAAGAAGTATCCATATTCTTTTCACTTTTGAAAGTGGGTAAATGAATTCAGGACAAATTTGATATGTAGCATGACATATTTTTCTATGAAAGAAACATCCCCCCTTATATTATAAGGCCCAACAAAGTTTTCTTGCGTGAAGTTGGTCCTTTTTCCGTCACTGTTCCGTACGCCTCTCCGTTAACTCACACATTCCAAAAAAGTGAGACGCTATTAGCATCTTTGCCGCCCACCGCCCCATGACATACACTGCTTTGGTGCCCATCGCCCCTCCACATACACTGCGTCGCCCAGATCCAAATCGTCTTCTCCAACTCATCTACCTGTAATCAAGGTAATTTCATAGTTTTTCTTTGCATTACACAGCAATTTCTTCCTTTGTGGTTTAGATTCATATTTCATTTCCTATCTCCAACTCATCTACCTGTAATCAAGGTAATTTCATACTTTTTCTTTGCATTACATAGCCATTTCTTCCTTTGGGGTTTAGATTCATACTTCACTTCCTAATTAGTGTAATCTCCGGATGTCCGCTTACCGCGGAGCTCGCGGCCGTCTAGGGTTTGGAAATAGGGGGAAAAACTCTAATTGGGCTCCGAGTCTGAATCTGGTTTGGAGCGGGTTATTATCAGACCCATGAAGATCCAAGAATTCTCTCATGAGTTTCTACTTCATGACTTAACAGTCCAGTAACAATTACCCTACGGAGCATGAATTTAAAGTTAAAAATTATGCATACAACACTTTGAACTGAAAAATCAATCAATGAGTTATTTATATTGTCTATAAATTCTAGTAGGCTTAGAATTAGGTGGTCTTAGTTGTGGACGTATTGACCATCTCTAGATCTGTCCACTCTATATGGACTCTTTATAACCAGTCGTCAGTTATTGATAATGGAATTTGATTTTTTGTGTTAGTACTTGCCATCATTGAATGATACTTTTCTTGTGTGCATTTCATTGGAAGCATCCACACCCACTGCACACTTCCTTAATTTTTTTTGAAATTAAAATTTAATTTTTTGTTACTTTCCTTTTCATCACTACATGAATTCATCCATTATTTTTGCCTCACAATGCATACTTTATTCAACACATTATTTCTGTAACTTATTTCCTATATTAAAAAAATTGTTTTTTGATATCTTTGCTATGTTCTGTGGTACACGAAGAAGAGAATGATGTAGATTCTGTTATAACAAAACGATCTAAACTTGCCACTGTTCAAATGTCTATAATTCCTAAACTTATGTAGACCTAAATTTCCTGATAAAAATCCTGAACTTATGTAGACCTAAAAATCTTAAACTATTACTCTGTTTAAATATTACATCTATCCGAAGAAGTCATTCACAAAATAGAACTCTCTATATAAAAAAAGTCATCTTTGTGACACCGGAATGAATGGCAAGCACGACTTTTTTTCCAGAATGAAGTACTACAAACAAGATGGTATTTTGGTTAAGTTAACCTATCCATCCATTTCAAACAATCTCTAAGCTAATTTAGCCATTTTAGCCAGATATTACACTCATTCAAAAAAAACTTCTTCTTATTTTGATTTTGTTTAAAAATATTTGAAAACACTATATTCAAAAAATAGGCTTTTCAACAAAATCTATTCTTTAAGAAAAAATGATTTCAGCAAAGAGTATTTCTCAATATAGAGGTTCTATGATTTAAGGAGAAAAAGAACTCAACTCAAAGAATTTTTAAAAATAAACTAAGTGTTAACCTTATAATTTTTAGGAAAGTTTGATATGTACAGTTTAAGAGAAAAAAATATTCATTCCATTTTAGCCGTACCTCCTTTAAATGGGGAATGATGTTTTTAACTACCTATTGTTACAAGGATTAACTTCTTTTGGTTCTTAATGTTTGGCACTGGTGACTTAAATATGTTTGTGTCTGTTTGTTTGGGAATGTTTTCTACTCTTAGCAGTGTAAGCATTGATGTATGTACTCTCAATTTATTCATTTAGCACTTTTTGCCTATTGTATTACTCTTTAATTTCATCAAGTGCGACCCTTTGATTATTCATCATTTTACTTATAACTGGTTAAAGATTCAATGGAAACTGGATCATCATCTACCCAGTCAACAGTTGACATTAATCGGCCTGAACAAAAGAACTTTAGGCGTCGCCTTAGATATTGAGAGTTGCGCGAACGGGAAAAAACACCGTTGCAAATATTACTAGACGTTCCAACTTCTCGGTGACTTCTTCAACTCAAGGTGTTAAATTCAATTCCTTTATCATTTGTAATTTAATTTTATCTTTCTTTACGTTTTACCATATTTGCTAATTTTTCCCAAGCTTACCATATTTACCATATTTACGTTTTACTCAATGTCACAATTGTAGTCAGATTGATGCCACCTAACTTCCAAGGGTGGACCCTCTTCTCACTTTAAATGTTTTAAAGTGATGCCACAATTGCAGTCAGATTATCCATTTATCACTAGATAATCGTAATCTCTTCTCACTTTATATGGTTTAAGTTTTAAGTATGAACTTTGTTTGGGCACCCACATACGTAGTATGTGCCTTGCTAGTCTATTCATATATTACTCGGTATTACTCAATTCAAAGTGTGTATATTCAAGATAAGGGGGTGCGGTGGGGGATCAACCACTCAACAAAATCAGACATAATACTACTAATTGGGTCTGTCAATGGGTGGAGTTTAGACCCGAACTTAAATGAAACCCGTATCTTTTTAACGGGTTTGGATATTAGAAAAATTGGATTACCCATACCCTCTATCCTTGTTAAATTTTTTAAAATTCAAGCTCAACCAAAAATTTGAACTTCGACCACATGTAAACAATATCCAAGTATCTAACTATCCATGACAATGACCTTTAAATGCCTTAATTAGTAACTACGGAACAAGAAATACCAAAAAAGTTTAATCGTCCATTACCTTTTTTAAATTTTTTGATCAAAGATATATAGAATAACAATTATCTAAAATCTAAATTTCTTTTTCCGAAGGAATACTATCATAGTGCGATACTAATATTATTTTTGGTTTTATTCAATTCAGATATTTTTGTTTTGTAGTATTTGTACCAAATTTTGATCAATTATAAAATGTAAAAGATATCTAGTTGTATCACGAATATTCCCGAATCAATAACGAGACCCAACATGTCTAAATATAGTACACAAAATCAATACCCGTTAGGAAAATGGGTATGAATCGAATACACTTTTGTTTATGAATATGGGTATGGAACACCCATTACAAGAAAATTGGTATTTCGTCGCATTTAATATTGTTCTTCACCGCACATATAAGTGTGGGGAGTCTGTTTGTCGCACATGAAGTAAGTGCGGGAGTGAAAGTGTGGGGAAAATTTCACCGCACTTTTAATAAGTGCAGTTAATGAATACATTAGCCACACTCATATTTGTGGCTAATATTTTATTTTGCCACACTTATATGTGTTTCTAAAACACCACACATACAAAAATACCAGCATTTTTTTATTACTAAAAATTCATAAAAAAGCCTATGTGGGACTCGAATCCATGTCTTCGTGTACTTTTACACAAAACGCTCTACCATTGAGCTAATAGGCCAAGAAAAGCAGCTCAAATAATATATCAAAAGAGAATGGTTCTAGATCATATATACACATGAGTACACAAATCCTACTCTCAAATATGGAGTCAATTTAACTAAGAAACAATTTTGAATTCATAAGCTCACTACAAATTTTCTAAGTTCAATATATAGGATCTAAACAAAAGAGGATGGCTCTAGATCTGAAATAGTCATGTAGCGTACTAAAGTTTAGATCGGAGCTAGACCAAAAGAGAGCATGGCATGAATGTAGAAGAGAATGGATTCCCGTGAAACCAACATGCTTTAATCAATTCCATATATTGTTGATAAAGCTTGATTGAAGCTTCAAATACTAAAGCAATCTTATAGATATCAGTATACTATTATCCCACTAAATCCATTAAAAAGCTACTAACAATAAATAATGATAACAAAACTGTTTTTTCAATTTCACCTTGTTTGCAAATTAATGAAAAAACTCAATGGATCCCTCTTTCTTTGTAAAAGAGTTTTCTTTTCAATAGTTCTCTACTTCTTTTGCTTGTACTTCATGCATTT